GAAAAAATGTGGCAAAAATCGTCAAAATTCCGAATATCGGGAGGTACCGTTATATGGGGACTACACCAAAACGTGGAGCTATACCTACAATGTTTCGCCACACGAACTAGGACCCATTATGACCTACAAATACCAATTTTTAGACAAATCAGTGTCAAAAACCATTAAAATACCGAATATCGGGAGGTAACGTTATATGTGGGCTATGCCAAAACGTGGACCTATACATGCAATGTCTCGCCCCACGAACTGGGACTCATTATGTCCTACAACTACCAATTTTCAGAGAAATTCGTGAAAAATGTGTCAAAAATCATCAAAACACCGAATATCGGGAGGTATCGTTATATGGGGACTATACCAAAACGTGGACCGATATATCTCATTTTCAATACCATCCATCCAAGACACAATACAAATTGCTCTGCTACATTTTGGCGCTCTACGTCAAATAACGTGGGCTGTATCGTGATTTCAACAGACAGACGGACAGACGGACATCGTTAATTTTTATGCTGATTATGAATACAGGGTTGCCCATATTCGACGGACCCATCTGGTAACGCCATAACTTTTGACAGAGATGTCACATCGCTTAATGACATACCGCGTTTGAAGCGTCAGTCCCAGCAGATTTATACCATGAACCAATACACACCACGCGAGCGCTCTGAAATAGTTGAAATTTACAAGAAGTCAATTGTGAAAACTCAACGTGCTTTTAAAACATTAAAAAATGTGAGAAGTGCGCTTTCTAAGAACACCATTAAGCGTTTATACGAACAATTTTCGACTGGTAAGGCTCTTTCTAATCCGAAGAGGCCATATAAAAGTCGACCAAGGCGATCGGCCGAGAATATCGCTCCCGTACGAGCCAGTGTTGAGAGGTCCCCAAGAACATCCCAATAACGCCCTTCTCAGCAGTTGGGCATGGCTCGGTCCACTTTACAACGGATTATTCGCATTGATTTGCATTTGTTCCCGTACAAAATTCAATTGACGCAAAGAATGTTGCCTGCGGACAAGCCTCGTCGATTGGAATGGGCCCAAAGAGTCATGGGTCCGTCGAATATGGGCAACCCTGTATATATACTTTATGGGGTCTACGACGAATATTTAAGGATGTTACAAACGGGATGACAAAGTTAATATACCCTCCTTTCCATGGTGAAGGGTATAAAAATTTGCCAAACATAAGCCGGCTTTTTTGGAAATATGAAATTAAAGATGGAACAGTGTTGGCATGTTTGCTCGGAATACCGTAGTAATTTGTTGTTGCAAATTACTGTTACATATATTTTTATATTTCCACCATACCAGCTTCTCGATCAGCATAAAAATGTCGATGTCCGTCTGTCTGTCGGCCTGTCTTCCCGTCTGTCTGTTGTAATCAATATCTTTCGAACGAATAGAGATAGAAGACTAACATTTTGCACACGTGTGTATTTTGTCAGTTGGCAGCATAGGTTCGTAAATGGCTCATGTCCGTATACGTTTTCGTAGAGCTCTCATATAACGGCACCTCTCAATGTTCGATTTTTTGATGCTTTTAGTGACATTATAGACCAGAATAGTTCCGAATTTTTTTTTTTTTTTTTTTTTTTTTTTTTTTTTTTTTCGTTCGGTCCCAACGCCACTCTTACCCGCCCCTGCCGACCGAGGGGGCCACCTCCCAATACGTAGGGAGCGCGTACACCCCATAGTCCGCACCATGGAGGGTTAGTATTATAGGGAAACACCAGCTACAGTAAAACATCAGCCGGTTTTAGTAAAAGGATTAGTATTACAAATCACACACAACGAGCAAAAATACAAATCTGGCAGCTCAAATACTATAATTATAAATTAAGTATTGATATTTTTATTGCATGCAAAGGTTCAGATAGTGATAAATTATTATAGAGGTTGTTATATATTTCACATAAAGATCTAAGGGGGTTGCTTAGTTCGTAGTTAGATCTCGCCAAGGAAAGATTTAGCGGTATATAATTACGAGTTATTCTAGACGGAACATTAAACTTTATTTCACTAATTAAAAATTGTGAATCAATTTGACCACGCAAAAGTCGTATTAAAAATATTGCTCTAAGCATTAAACGCCTTCTTTCTAACGATGGAAGGTCTATAAGTTTTAATCGATTTTCATAGGGGGGGAGTGCTTCAGACGGATTCCAGGGCAGACCTTTGAGAGCGAATATAATGAATTGTTTTTGAACTGCTTCTATTGAATTAGAGTAACATTTATAAAATGGACTCCACAACACGCAACCATACTCTAATGTAGGTCTAACTAGACTAGTAAACAAGCGTTTAGTTACGTAAGGGTCTTCAAACTCTTTAGACCAGCGCTTAATGAAACCTAGAAGAGACTTTGCTTTATTAACGCTAGATTCAATGTGTAAGTTAAAACGAAGTTTATTGTCCAAAATAACACCAAGATCAATAAATGAGTCTACATTCTCCAATTTGTATGAACCTACGAAGTAATCAGATTGAATATGTCTAGATCTGAATAATGATAATTTTTTGCATTTTTTAAGATTTAGTGACATGCCATTCATACCACACCAATTTACAATGGAATGTAGATCATGTTGTAAATGTAATGAGCTATTGAGAGAATCGAGATTAATGAACAGCTTAACATCATCTGCAAACATTAGAATTTTGGAAAACCTTACAACTGACGGAAGATCATTGAGATAGAGAACGAATTCTTATTGGAAGATTGTTTTAAATTTTCAATTAGAATGTCCTAATGGGTACTGTAGCCTATGAAAAAAACTTATGCAGGTCCACGTCTTCGTATGACCCATATATAACGGTACCTCCGAATAGTCGGTATTTTAATGGAGACATTATAGACATTTGTTTCGTATTTAAAGTTCGTAATGGGCAAAAAAATCGCGTATGCGATCAAAGTCTTTGTATAGTCACCATACCTCCAGCATATTCGGTATTTTGACGATTTAAGCGACGTTATTCACAGGAATTGTTTCAAATTTCGTATTTCTTAATGGATACTTCCAACTATAACAGAAAATCTTCTATGCAGGTCCACGTCTTCGTATATCCCACACATAAGGGTACCTCCCTTTTTTCATTATTTTGAAAAAAAAAAAAATTAGCGACATTATTCACCGGAATTGTATAAAATTTCGGATTTTAAGGTTCTAATGGGTACTACAGCAATTGCCTTGTAATAATTATTCCAGGCTCCAACGCTTGGTACAATTATAAAGGTTGTTAGGTAATTTCTAATAAGCATTTTCAGCACAGAATTTTCTGGAACATAAGGTGAGAACACATAAAACGCTTTTTTTGACTGGCTTAAGTCATCGGCTGGCTTCTTCGGAAAAGAATAAAGGAGCGTATGGTCAAAATCGAATCAAGTCAACCTAAAACTCCTTTGTTGCTATACGAAGAAGCTAGCCGATAACTTAAACCGGTCAAATAGACGTTTTATGTATTCTCACCTTTAGTTTGTAAGAGTATGATAAGGCTGGGTTTTTGGAAATGTGTACCAAAAGGATGTGAAAAGTACGAAACTGTTCTAAAAATTGAATACTTTGTATTGGACAAACGAAATGAGCTAGAATTTTTGAATTTGGAACGATAGTCACTGATATAGTGGAGGATATACGTAGTAAAGGGTTTTTGAAATTTCGAGCTCCACGGTAACGAAAAGTTCTAAAATGGCACCATTTGGTGCCAAAGAAGTTTTCTGTAGAATAAAAAAGGCTCGAAGAGGTCTTCTCTAGAATAGAAGAGCCGCATAGAGGTCTTCTCTAGAATAGAATGGCCTCGGAGAGGTCTTCTTTAAAATAAAATGTTGACCCCTTTGTGGGGGATGTACCCAAAGGAGTGAATCGATATATCCCATCTTCGCACTGTATCTTGTGTTAATAAAAATATTGGGGTGTGTGAAACTTGGAGAGAACCGGATACTTATTTCGCATTTTATAAGAGTGGTAATTATTAAAAAATGTTGACCCTTTGTGGGGGAGGTAGCAGAAGGAGTGAATCAATATCTACTATCTTCACACCCGATCTTGTGTTAGTAGAAATATTGGAATGTGTGAAGTTTCGAAAGAATCTGTTGGTCATTTCACATTTTATGAGAATTTTGGTTATTTAAAAGGTTGAGCCCTTTGTGGGGGAGGTGCCAAAAGGAGAGGGCCGATCTATTACATCTTCACACCAGATCTTATATTATTAGAAATATTGAGATGTGCCGAGTTTGAAATTAATCGTATGCTCATTTTGCGCTTAATGAGCTTCATGATTATTCAAAAATTTTATCTCTTGTAAGGGAGGTAGCAGAAGGAGGGGCCCGTTCTATCCGTTCTTCGATGTGCGAAATTTGCAGTTATTTAGACCTTTATTACATATTTTATGAGAGTTATAATTATTCAAAATTTTGAGCCTTTGTAGCGGAGGTCCTTGTTGGAGGGGCCGATATTGTCCATTCTCGCACCTCATACAAATATTGGAATTTGCAAAGTTTTCACAAAATTTCGTGATATATTCTTATTCTATAGGGAAAATTATTTTCTGAGAAAATGTGGATCGTTATTAGGGAAGGTGCCAGAAAGAGGTGACAGATATTGCCCGTCTCTAAACTCAATTTAAGCTTGGTAATAATATTACGATGTACCAAGTTTGGATCAAATCGGATACTCCCTTCGAGAGTGTCCGACGGACACCAGGCCGACTCCAAATGTCCTGAAACGGATTTGGTTCAACGAGACCTAGTGTCTAAAACCGTTATTTCGATGAGGCACGTAATGGCTGCATCAAATGATATACCCTCTGTAGGCATATGGATGAGGGTATAAAAAGGGGGAGAATTAATACCGAATTGGGACCAAAAACCCCATTTACTTTCAAAATTTAACAATGCTCTGACAATATTGTCAGAAAAAATAATTATCTTGGTACATTCACATTCATATATTTTTTCTAATTGAATTTTGAAAAAAATAATATTAAAATATTTTTTTGAAAAAAAAAAAAAAAAAAAAAAACAAAAAGTTCCCACATTCATTGAGAAAATGTCCTCGGAAGAGAAGAAGAAAAGGCTCGATGAACGGAATTCATATTACATTCAGGTCAAGGCCATTGATCCGGATCGCAATATTAAAAAATTGCGAAAAATATTCGGAGTCTCTCACACCATCCAGAAGCAGACCATGCGACGGCTTAGTGTTACGGATCAGGAAAAAGAGGAATTAGAACGGAAACGTCTACAGCATCTCAAGGAATTGAGGCAACAGAGAATCTCTTCGCTGGGGGCGAATCATAGATATATTTTGGAAATTGTTGCCGATCTAATGGGTGGTTTGGAAACGGATGACATAATTGCAGGTGTGGTTGATGATCCGGCTTTTGTGGATCTTCTCTCCTCGCTGTTTGAAAAGAACGGAATGCGTGCCTGCATGATAAGCTATGCCGCCATGATTGGGTATCCACCCGATTCGGGACGTTATACGGAGAGTACAAAACGCCAAAATGTTAATCGTGCCATTGTCCAACGAAGTGATGCCGTTCATTTATTCGGCAAATGGGTTATATTGTATCGCAACAATAACAAAAAAGCCATCGACAATCGCACCATATCGGAGGATATATCATTCATTGGCTGGAGAACGGATCAAAAGGACAATTGTTTGTTTGTCATTAAGAATTTCATGGATCGCATACTGTTAAAGTCGCTGGAGGTGTTCACCGAATTCGGTGTGGCCGAATTCGAACAGAAGCGAAAATTCTTCCACACCCTCAATATGTACAACGTGTTTTTGCAGTCTTCGGAGGCCACGGTGTCCAGCCGAGTCAATTTCAATGTCTCCCACGAACTTTTCAAAGGGTTTCTTTTGGTAAAATTTCAAATTGAGGCCAGTTCAAAGGATGTGAATCGTGTCCGCCTGGTGGAGAAATACTTCAATCTATGGATGCGCCAAATACAGGGTATTTTGGTGGAGGGTAAACAAATTCAGAAGGATAGTCCCGATGTGGGGCCTTTGCAAATGTTGGTTCTGTGGCGTCGTATGTTGGCACGATACACTTCGATTAAGGAATTTGTTTCGTCACAGGCCTTCAATAATCACAAGGCATGTCTGACCTTGTCAAGGTCATCGAAACTTTTAAAGGTAGAGTGGGGAATTGCTTTTACTGCTGAAAATAACTAAAAATATTTGTTTTGTTTTAGAAATGGCTAGAAATTGACAATCAGGTGACGTTGGTCTTAAACGAGGCCAAGGATAATGTCAGATATATAACGTCATTGCAAAAATGTTGGGATCCGTTGTACAGGTGAGTGGGAAATACAATTTATTTAAAATTACATTTAGGAAAGATGAAGCTCTCATAAAATCAGTAGAATATGAATTTTGCCTTTAACCCTGAGGCAGGAGATGACCAAAACGGCACATCTCTGTTTTATGAGAGATGGGTTTGAATGTCTTTATTTTATAAGGATCATCTTAAAAGAGAGAGAGAGAGTGAAAGTGAAGAGAGTGAGAGGGAGGGAAGGAGGGAGTTTTATATCAATATGAGCTCCAAAAAATTGATCTGAACGTAAAAGTAAATCGGCAGCTGATTACATCATGTAGGATAAGTCGTTTGGGGCGGCGAAGACTTTTTTTGCTATATTCGGCAATGGGGAGTTTTACATTTTCCTCATAAAGACTTTTGTACCTTGAATAAAATAGTGATTACATCCCGGTGTCATAGTCGTGAACAAATTGGACAGCTGTCGGATTTAATCGAACATTGCTCGACTCTGAAGCCTTGGTTATAACCTTCAAAAATACCCAATCTTAGTCCATTTAGTTGAAAAATTCGATTAAGACCTTCAAAGTGCACATCATCAACTGGCGTGCCATCCTCAGCCATATGACTACGGAGGGTATATATCGTTTGATACAGCCAAAATGTGGCTCATCGAAAAAACCGTTTCGACCCTGGGTCTCTTTGTTCCAAATCCAATTTAGGACGTTTGGAGTCGATCTAGGCGTGTTCGTCCGTCCGTCCATCCATCCGTCTGTCTGGCTGTTGCGCACAATAACTCTCGAAGGCAGTATCCGATTTGCTTGAAACTTGGTACATCGTAATACTATTATCAAACTTAGATTGAAATCGAAGATGGGCATTATCGTTGTACACCTTCTGGTAGCCTCCCACAAAAGGTCGAAATTTTCACAGAAAATAATTCACATTATAGATCTAGAAAGGATCATTCAATTTTGTGAAAACTTTGAAAATCCTAATATTTTTAACAGTGCGAAAATGGACAATATTGGCTCACTCATTCTGGTACTTTCCCCACAAAGGACTAAAATTTTGAATAACTATAACTCTTATAAAAAGTGAAAAAAGCATCAGATTCTCTTCCAATTTAAAACATTCCAATTTTTCGGTTAACATAAGATCTGGTGTAAAAATGGTAAATATCTACACACTTCTTTGGTACCTCCCCCACAAAGGTGTTATTGAATAACCCAAACGCCCTAAATTCCTAACCAAGCACCCCATTATTTCTAAACTTAACACATTCCAATATTTCTATCAACATCTGTGAAGATGGGATATATCGCTTCACTCCTTCTGGTACCACTCCCACAAAGGGTTTACAATTTTGAATAACCAAAACGCTCGTATAATTCGAAATGAATTTCCGATTTTTTCTAAACTTTAAATTTCTTGTTATTTCTTCTGTGAAGATGGTACCTCCCCTACAACGGGTCAAAATGTTGAATAATTCCCATACAATTGGAAAAAAATTTAATATTTTATTTTTATTTTGTCACATTCCAAAATTGGTATATCTTGTACTTCAACCACATTTCAATATTTTCCAAAAATTATCTGATTTAAAGTGAAGGAAGTGGGTAATATAGTCAAAATCTTGCACGTTGTAAATTTTATATCAGACTTATGCCAGATACGAAAATGACAATATTCAGGACCCCCCTCCATAGAGAGTCAACATTTCGAACAACCATAAAGTATGCTAAAATTTATTTTAACTAGGAAGTGCACGCAAACAGTGAAAGATCGACCGTAAAATTTTAGCTTCATTAAAACAGTTCGTGTAAGGCCTTTTAGTACTCAAAATGCACAATTTATTCAGTTTGATATTTTGTATGAAGTTTTAATTACTTCAAAATTTTTCATTTTGAAGTGTACCGAGGAGGATATTAGAAAAACCATTGCATAATGGATCTGCATCCAACCCTAGAACCCAACAGTGACACCAATATCAAAAATAAGAATATCAGCTCAATCCCTTCAACTTATACCAATGTTAGTAGTATTTTCTGAACAATCTCCATATTTTAACCTCAGATACTACCAACAGTGACCTTAATATCAAACTTCCGAATTTCTGCTCTGTATTTTCCCAATTACCATTACCGAAACAAGCTCCTTCTCTTAAGTATAGACACCAACAATGATATTCATATTTATTTCAGGATTTCATATATATTTCTTTAACCAATACCCATTTTAGTACCACTTAGTACTTTTCAAACAATTATAGCACATATTTCCAAAACCACCTCCATATCTTAACCACAGACATCAAGAGTGATCTTAATATCAAATTTCTGAATTTTAATTCTGTAATTTCCCCCATTACCAAATTTAATACTACTTAGTATTTTTCGAACAATTATAGTACACATTTCCAAAACAAACATCCATATCACAAATATCAGTTGAGACCTTAACATCAAATGTGAAGATTCCTATCTATACCTGTCCTATCCTTTCACCAAATAACAAATATAATACCATTTAGTAATTTTCGTAAACTTTTAGTACTCATTTGTAAAACCGTTGCTTATCTCAATCATAGACATCAAGAGCCATCGCAATATAAAATTTCACGGTTTCAGCTCTAACCCTTCTCCCAATATAAAATGCAAAACCATTTAGTACCTTTCAAAGAATTATATTACACATTTCCAAAACCTGCTGCATTATTCAAGCCCAAACACCAACAGTGATATCCATATCAAATTTCAGGATTCCAGCTCTATCCTTTCACCCAATACTAAATTTGGTACTTTTCGTCCAATTATAGTACACATTTCCAAAACAACCTTCTATATCAATTCCAGATAGCAAGAGAACTTCAATATTAAATTTCTGGATTTCAATTCCATCTCTTCACCCAATATCAAATTTAGTACCACTTAATACTTTTCTACTTCCATATCCTAACCACAGAGACCAGGAGTGACTTTAATATCTATCATTTCACCCATTAGCAAATTTAGTAACATTTTCTACGCATATACAAAACCGTCAACATATCTCCATTCTCGACACCAACAGTTATCTAAAATTAGTACCATTTAGTACTTATCGAACAGTTATTGTACGCCTTCCAAAACACATCTCCATATCAAAATTTTGGGATTCTAGATCTATCCTTTCAACTAATACCATTTAGCACTTTTCGTACAAATATAGGGCGTATTTCTAAAGCCAAATCTCAAGCACTAATACCATCTGCAATCTAAATATCAAATCTCAGAATTGTATCTCTATACCAAATATAGTACTAATCACCCAATACCAAATATAGTACTATTTAGTATCTTTTTTGCACGTGTAGTACACATTTGAAAACTCACCTCTTTATCACAAACCTACCACACACAGGGACTCCAATATAAAATTCCATCGTTATCCTTAACCAAACTGTTCCATATTAAGTACCATTTAGTGAAGTTCGCAAACTTAATAGACATTCTCAAAACCACTTTTATATATCAAATTTACTTTCTAATCTTAACTCTTAACATTTTTAGCTCTTAACTCTAAAATGTTTAGCTTTATCCGTTCGCATAATACCAAACGGTATCATTTCAGAAATGTAGAACCTTTTTTGGAACTTTTCGTAACCTTAAAGTTCGAGTTTCCAAAAACCCTTTGGTACATCTATTCTGCACTTTATTAGTGACTCTCATTCCGAATTTCAGAATTATAGCTCATTTCGTTTGTCTATATACAAAGAATGCAAAGTGTTTTTAGTACATTTTAGTACTTTTTGTAGCCTTGTAGTACAAATTTCCAAAAATCCATCCATCCCAAGACTTACCCTCGTACAAAATTTCAAGATTCTAGCTTCAGCTACTTCGTCTGGGCTTTGATTCTCAGTCAGTCTGTCAGTTATTCCACTACTATTTTACATATTTACATAGAACTTGATATATCTACATTTCTCTCAACTAGAGATCTAATACGAGTATGGAATGTATCGGTCCAATCCTTTTGGTACATTTTGATAAACAATTATTCGGATAAAAATGATAAACAGTTTGAATAACACTGTGCGACACAAAAAATAATAATCTATCTGAGATTTGTAGTGAATTTTTTTAAAAAATATTACTTCTTTTGACACCTTTTGCCTATAACGAAAGTTCATGTTACTTTCAAAAAACTCAAAGAAAAGTCCGAGGAACTTGATGGATTTTTTTGGAACATTGATGCGAATATATATTTATACCCTAAAACACTATGTATTATAAGTTTGATTGGGCCAAAAATTATGTAACACCTCGAAATATTGGTTTTCCATATGGGAACGTATACATGGTATATGGATCTTCCTACCTCTCCGGGCTGAGTCGATCTAGCTATGTATGTCCGTCCGTCTTTCTGTCCATCTGTCCATGTTAATTTGTAATCAAGCTACAGGTCACAATTATGGCCCGATCCTCACGAAATTGAAAATGGAGGTGGGGTTATGGTCAGAATAGAACCCTATTGTTTTGAGATTATTGTACAATATTTAGGGATTGAAATGGACCAAAAACTGAAAAATTTTCCTGATTTTGCAGTTGTTCTATAAGCCACAATCGACGAAAATTTACATGGAGTTAGAGTTTAGAACTGGACAGAAGCCTACCAATTTGGGCGGCCATCGGACAATATTTAGCGGGTAAATAGACCCTAACTTTTATGTAAGGAAATAAGAAAATTTCCTCTAAAACGCGAATGTTTTTAATCCCAGCCAAATCACAAATACATTAAAAGGCCACTTCTGATCATTAAAGTGATGCTGATAGCCAAAATAGGTACGATATATATGTAAAAGAATATATCTTTTTTTATTCTGCTTATAAGTCAAGAACCGCTGGGCCGATTTTCACAATTCCCATAAATTCGTAATGGTCTCTTGCCTGAAAGGGATAAAATCTAAAAAAAAAACGAGGAAAAATATAGCAATAAAAAGTGAATATTTTTGGTTCCTTTTTTTAAATGTTTGTCATATTTTTATCGCATGCGATTTTTTCCATTTGACTTCCAATTTGAATTGTAAATTTTTACACCCTGCAACACTACGTTTTGAGGGTAACCCTTCCCCCGATATTTTGCATGAGAGTAGGGTTAGGGTCAAAATTAAAGCCTATTGTTCTTAACATTTACATTTAGGAATTCGAATGGACTAAAAAATACATTTTTTCTCATTTTGTAGTCGTTCTATAGACAAAAATTGAAAACTAATCGACAAAGAATTTCGCTTCAAAAGAGAGTTAGGTACAGGGGTATTATTTTTGACATTATTTAAAAAACGAAATCTTCCAAAATGGAGTTTTACATAAGGGAACTTCGAACAAATTGTGGTGTTGTAGGGTACCACATGGTCTGCCCCGCACGACTATAGCCTTTGCTTACTTGTTTTAATATACAGTAAAAATAGTGACTTCTTTTCTTTGTCGACTTATGGTAAAATTTGATTTCTATCTTTGATGTCATCCTTCTAAAATGATGCTTTGTGAAAGACTTTTGCACAAGCTCACAAAAAGTACAGCTTTAACCCTAGAATGTCTTTTTTATTATATATGAATTTCTGGCGCTTAGGTTAGATTAAGACTCTTAACGTCAAAATAACAAGTCAAAATATTCTACAAAATTATTTGTCATAAAATTCTACTATGGGTCCTAGCATAGTAAAATTTTATGACAAATAATTATGTAGAATATTTTGACTTGTTACGACAACGTTTAAAGTAAATTTTACCTTTTTTAAAAAACGCGCCACTTTCTGGGCTCGCTTGATAGTTAAAATTATTCTACGTATTTTTATCTGCAATATTACCGAAGACACAATATATACCAAAAATTCATATTCCTAAAATCTTAATCCAATATTTTCCAAACTGTGGAAGAGGGGGAACTTACCCCCTCTATTTTGGACACTTTTCGATATACGTTTTCAAAACGCCAATACACGTGCATTTTTGTTTTAGCTCTGTTCTCATAATCTGCTATATTTTCCCGGTAATTATTGAAAAAAATGGAATTTTGTCGCACAGTGTCACAGAATCATAACGCAAGTCCAAATATATTTTAATAAACTAACATTGGCTGAGAGTATACCTCTGCGTCTTTCAAGATATATTTAAAGGATTTCATGCCAAGAAATCATAGAGTTTAAATAATTAAGTAAGATTTCTGTGACATGAGACCCAAAATTCCAAATATCCCATTATTGAACTCAAAAAATATTTTCCAAAGCGATTCTCCCCCAAGATCTTTTTTTGAAAAAGATATTAGATGACACTTAATTTCCCTTAAGGTATCCCCTGATTTTCAATATGACATTTACACACAAACGTTACATTCCAGATCTTCACCGGATGAAATCATTAGCAGCCTTCCCGGTTTAATGGTGGCCATACGCAATGTTTCAAAGGCGGCTCACTATTTCAATACGCCCAGCAATGTGACCGGTCTGTTTGTGAAAATTTCAAATCAATTGACGATAGTCAGTAGAAATTATCTGACGGACAATGGACGGCTGAATTTGTGGAACATGCCGCCACAGGAGGTCATTGAAAAGATCGAGAAATGTCGGCGAATAATGGAAGTTTATAAACAGCAGTATTTTGACACCTGTCGTGATATGGCCGAAGCCGAGGAGAAGCCATGGGTTATTTCGTCGGTTTATATTTTCACTTGTCTGGGGAAGTTTCTGCAACGTTTGGATAAGGTGAGCCCTGAAAGGGCTTAGATAATCTCGTTTTAACAATTTTTTTCTCTCCTTCAGATCAAATTAATTTTCAATACCGAAATAACCTATACCATACTGGATCGTATACGCATAAGCGGAATGGAGAAATTCAATGCCATCATAAAGAATGCCAAGGCTGTAATTAGTTCCAAACCCTATGACCCATTAAATTATCGCATTGATGCCTTCAATATGGACTTTGAACGTTTCGTGAAAGAGGTGGAGCAGGCCGAAGTCGGTATGCAACAGTTTGTGAAACAACAACTAACCGATGTTCCCACTGCCGAATCGGTGTTGTTGATATTGGCCCGATTCGAACGCCTGAATCTGGAATGTTTGTGTCTGGATCGCCGCTATCTGGAAGTTTGTGAAATGTTGGAAAAGGAAATGTTCCAGCTGAAGGATGTGTAAGTTCTGGCTTTCTTTTTGAGAGAGAGAGAGAGAGAGAGAGAGAGAGAGAGAAAAGAGAATGATTTTTTTGTGTTCACAGATACAACGAGGAAAGAGGCAATCCATATGTCTCCCGAAATTTACCCCCAGTGGCGGGTCGCATCATGTGGATACGCTCGATTTTCCAAAAAATCGACATACCCATGAAGTCGCTAAAGACACGCACCTGTGTGCTGGCCAACAAAAAAGCCCAACGTGTTGTGCGCTATTACAATTACATTAACGGCATAATTTGCCACTATGAAATGACCTATCACAAGGCATGGTTCGATTATGCCGAGGAGGTTCGTTGCCTGCTGAATTCGCCGATTTTAATTTGCCACAAAGATGCGGCAAAGTACACCGTGAATTTAGATCCAGCCATAAGGCAGCTGATAAAAGAAACCGAATGGATGTGGAAATTGAAATTGGAGGTGCCAAATATTGCCGCTGTCGTCGCATACTGTAAGGATATTATTTTGAGACCAGCCGAATCGTTGAAAAATGCCCTGCAACAATTCGATAAAATGCGTCGCAGTATTACCCCGGTATTTATAAATATTATGCGTTTCCGCCTCAAGGAAGTATCGGTTTTATTGAAACCGGGGTTGTCGACCATATCGTGGCTCTCGGAGAATTTGGAAGATTTCGTGAATGGCGTTGAAAAGGTAGGTGATATTTAAATATTTAGCTTTGAAATAAGTTTTGCTGAATAAATTTTATCAGATTAATTGGATGTGAATTGGGTCTGTACGAAAATTCTAAAAATTCATGCACCATACAGGGTGAGATAAAAAAACTGAAAAAAAATTATTGAATGAAAGCAAAAAATGCCGGAAATAGCACCAAATTGTAGAATAAGTTTTTTTTCTTTCGTATTGGTAACCTTTGGCACGAATTATGGCCATCAAACGGCCAATGAAACCGTCACACGCTGCCCGAATGTTGCTCTGCTGTATTTTGGCCCATTCCCGGCGAAGCGCTTGCTTGAGGTAATCCATACTTTGGTATTTTTTAGTGCCAACCTTGCTTTACAAAATACTCCAGATACAACAGTCCAACAGATTGGTATCCGGAGATTTTGGTGGTCATTGTGCGTTGGGAATGAATCGAGGAACCTCATTTTGTAACCATTCTTGGGTGGCGCGTGCTGAGTCCTGTTGGAATGTCCAAGGTCTGCGGGCAAAATGTTTGAGTGCCCAAGGCTTTAATACACCCTCCAGAATATTTTCACGATAATATTCGGCATTTATTCTGATGCCACTGTCTATTAATAAGAGCGGAGAGCGACCATCGGCTTTTATTGCGGACCACACCATCACCATGGCCGGCGCTTGAGTTCTGGTGGCCAACCGAAGTTGCACATTTTCAATGTTTTCTCATCAGAGAAAAAAAAATTCGGTAGTTCACCACTTTCGGCCTAGCGAAGCAACTCTTTAGCTCTTTTGACTCTATTTTCTTTCTGTTGCGGTGTAAGTTCCTACACTTTTTGGCATTTCAATGGCTTTACCCCGAGCTCAATTTTCAATATTTGCCGAATGGAATATTACGATATGTTCATACGGCCACTGCGACGCGGGTTTCGCTCAAGTAACTTCTTTACTTTTCGAATCATTTCTGCTGATGTTGCTGTGCACTTCTTTGACATCGGGCTACGCTACCAGTATCGAGCGGTAACGAGCGATGGTACGAGACACAAAAGATTTATTCACATTTAAATGCTGCAGTGCTCTAACCATAGCCTCTTGTGGTTTTCCAGCCGAAATAAAGAAATCACACTATCACGCGTTTTATGAACTTAATAGATATTCAAAATTTCGACCTATTATGGGAGGTGTACTTGATAGAATGAACCGATATATTCCATCTTAACACCAGATCTTGGGTTCGTAAAAATATTGGGATTTGTGAAATTTTAAGACAATCGGATTCTTACATCACATTTTATAAAAGTTATAATTTTTCAAAATGTTAACCCTTTGTGGGGGAGGGAGGTATTTGATGGAGTGGACCGATATTGTCCATTTTCGCACATGATCTAACACTGACGCAAATATTGGGACTTGAAAAGTGAAAGCAAAATTTTATTATTGATTCTCTTTCTGTGCAGAAAATATCTTTACACCAGACCTTGGGTTAATAAAATTATTGGGATGTGTGAAATTTGAAGACAATCGAACACTTATATCACATTTTATCAGAGTTGTAATTATTGAAAATTTTGACCCTTTGTGGGCGAGGTACTTGATGTAGTGGAGCGATATTGTTCATTTTCGCACATGACCTAGCATTGACGCAAATATTAGGATTTGCAAAGTTGGAGCAAAATCGGATTATCCTTTCACTTTCTGTGCAGAAAATTAAGTTTTTGAAAATTTCGATCTTTTGTGGCATAGATAACAGAAGGAGTCGACCGATATTGCTCATCTCCGAACTCGATCTAGGTTTGACAAAAATATTACTATGTTCCAAATTTGGACCACATCGGATACTCCCTTCGAGAGTTATCGTGAGCACCAGCCAGACGGACGGACGGACATAGCTAGATCGACTCCAAATGTTCTGAAACGAATTTGGTCCAAAAAAACCTAGGGTCCAAAGCCGTTATTTCGACTTGGCACGTTTTGACCGTATCAAATGATATATACCCTCTCCAGCCTTATGGTTGAGGGTATAAAAATATTAAAATAATCGAACATAGGCTGGGGCTATACATCTGTCGGCAAAACCGACTAATTCTTTTCAAATTGTTTTATTACAAATTCTCACTAAAAAAATAATTGAATTTAATTTTATTTCAGAAAATCAATGAAGTATCGACATTTTATCAAACCATCCTCCATATCGATTCGATACGCATCATGAACGAAATGAAATCGTTGCAAGAGTACATGTACATGTACACACCGTCATCATCATCGGGACCGGTGTCATCGGAAAAATTCTATGAAAATTGCAACAACTTGCGCATGGAAATCGAAAAGGAATTGGAAAAGAAATCCGTCTGCATGGAACGGGCCGTAATAGATTTGTGCAATATGTTTGTAGAGCTGCTGGATTTCGGACCGTTAGATTCGAAGGGACGTCGCGTCTTTCAACTGCCACCGGATAAAATAAACGATTCAAATTGGCGTGAAGAGGGCAATATGCCAATCGATAAATGGGATTGGATACAATTTCAGAAAATCTATCGAACCATATATCTGGTGCCGGAGGATATCTTGAGGACGTTGCAATTTAAAAATTACGAAAATATCCGTTATGAGTTACATCATTTGCGTAACGATTGCATGGATTTATTTTCGTATTATAATTCGAAAATGATTTTGGCCCTGGTCGGCTGTTCGAAACGTTCGCTGGACTATGTGCGGCAGAAGATTTTGAGGTGAGTTTGAGCAAACAAAGGTGCTTAATTGAGGTGAGGTTTTTTTTACGTTTAAGAAAGGAGGTGGAAGAACTGTTACAGCTTAGGGATGTCAGAGATGCCAACTGTTCCGAGTTAAAAATCGCTACAGACTTGTTAAACAAATTTAAGGTGTGAAGTCTTCGCATGATAATATTTTGTGACATAACATAAAAGAAAGCCAGAGCCGCACACCAATCCTGCCTTCGTTTCCCCTTATAATTTGACATTAATATGCCTAGCCATGATGTCAAGCTGCTTATGTACCCTCACCTTTAGCGTGGTCATTTATATCTCAGCAAACCTTTCAATATTTTAAAACATAATGATTTATTAAATACCTCATCCGATACAACTCTCTTCTAACCCCATAGATAATAACGAATATGAATTGTCGAATGTCTATATTTTCAGAACCAACTGGCGCACCGATCTTCAGCCACCAATTCTTTATACCGAACTCGAAATCGATTTGGAATCCTGCTGCACCATTGTTCCCAACTTAGAAGTAATGCAAGCTGATTTTCATCGTTCGGTTTTGAATTGCACCGAAATTAACTATTTCGTCACGACCTGGGGCAAACAGGCCAAGACGCATGAGAGAAGACAAAGGCGTGTTACTGTGGGTAAGGATGTGATTTGTTTTATTCTCTAAAGGTAGGTTTTCAAATCATGTATAGCATTTTTAAAGCATACTTTCCAGCGTTTCCATAAATGACTAAACTCCAAACGGTGACGACCTGCTTTCTCATTTTTAAGCCGGGTTAGGTTCAGCGGGGCTAGAGTCGTCACCAATAATTTATCTAGTTTTTTGGGACATTCATATAACGTTATAAAGTTCATTATTAAAATTATATGGCGCCCAACGTGGGGCAAAACAGTCGAATCCTTAATGACAAAATTTAGTCCTCTTTGGACGTACCAGTTATATATTTTAAATCTATAACAATTTGTGTTCCATCTTCAGCAGGGCCATCTTCGGCCAGGCCGAACTTTTAATACCCTCCACCTTAGGGTAATGAAAACATTAGAACCAATTATGACCCACAAATACCATTTTTTTAGACATATTCGTGGGAAAAATCATCAAAATACCGAATATCGGGAGGTAGCGCTATATCTCTATATACAAAAATGTTTCGCCAACGGAGCTAGAACCTATTATGACCAACTAATTCAAATTTTTAGACAAATGCGTGAAAAAATGTGACAAAAACCATCAAAATACCGAATATCGGGAGGTACCGCTATATGGGGGCTATACCAAAACGTGGACTTATACATGCAAAATTTCGCCACCGGAGCTAGAACCCATTATGACCAACAAATACTAATTTTTAGTAGAATCCATAAAAAAATGTGGCAAAAATCAAAATACCGAATATCGGGAGGTACCGTTATATGGGGACCATATGCTGATTATTAATATATATACATTATGGGGTCTACGACGAATATTTAGACATGTGAGTAGGACTGGTGAGTAGGATAACTCTCGAAGGAAGTATTCGATTTTTTCCAAACTTGGTACATTATTGTCAAACTTAGATCGAGTTCGGAGATGGATAATATCGGTCCACTCCTTCGGGTACCTCCCCCACAAAAGGTCGAAATTTTCAAAAAATATATTTTTTGCACAGAAAGAGAAAGGATAATCCGATTTTGCTCCAACTTTGCAAATCCTAATATTTGCCTCAGTTCTGGGTCAGGTGTGAAAGTGGACAATATCGGTCCACTCTATCAATTACCTCCTCAACAATTGGTCAAAATGTTGAATAATTACAACTCTCATAAAATGTGTTATTAGAGTCCGATTGTCTTCAAATTTCACACATCCCAATATTTTTTTATCAACCGAAGGTCTGGTGTTAAAATGGAATATTTCGGTCCACTCCTTCTGGAACCTTCCCCATAAAAGGTCGAAATTATCAAAACAAAATAAATAAATAAATAAACAAATAAATAAATATTTTTTGCACGGAAAGAGATTTTGCTCCAACTTTGCAAATCAGTTCTAGGTCAGGTGCAAAAATAGATAATATCGGTTCACTCCATCAAGTACCTACCCCACAAAGGGTCAATATTTTGAATAATTCTAACTCTCATAAAATGTGATGTTAGAGTCCGATTGCTTTCAAATTTCACACATCCCAATATTTTCATAAGCCCAAGATATGGTGTTAAGATGGAATATATCGGTCTTATTCTTTATCTGGTACCTCCCCCAAACAGAGTCAAAAATTTGAATATCATGGATGTTAAACGTGAAATTAACATCGGATTCCATTCAGACTTAGCACATTTCAATATTTCTATCAACACAATATATGTTATAAAGATATTAGAGATCGGACCATTCCTTCAGGTACCTCCTCCACAAAGGGTCAGTCAATTTGAATTACGAAAACGATCAGAAGATTCGAAATAAGCATCCGGTCCTCTTCATATTTCACACATCGCATTATTTCTACTAACACAAGATCTACTGTGAAAATGTATAGTATATCGGTCCACTTCTTCTGGTACCTCTCCCGCAAAGGGCCAAAATGTTGAATATCCATGAACCTCATAAAACGCGAAATTAACATCCAATTCCATTCAGACTTGGTACATCTCAATATTTCTATTCTTCTGGTACCTACCCCACAAAGGACCAACATTTTGAATAAACAAAACGATCATAAAATCCGAGTCCATTCAGACTTGGTGCATCTAAATATTTCCATCAATACAAGATATGTTATAAAGATGGTAGAGATTGGACCATTTGTTCTGGTACCTCCTCCACAAAGGGTAAAAAATTTAAATTATGAAAATGATCATAAAATTCGAAATAAGCATCCGCTTCTCTTCATATTTCACACATTGCATTATTTCCACTACCATAAGATCTACTGTGCAGTTGGGATATGTCGGTCCACTCCTTCTGGTACCTCTCCCGCAAAAGGTCAAAATTTTGAATATCCACTAACCTCATAAAACGCAAAATTAACATCCGCTTCCATTCAGACGTGGTGCATCTCAATATTTCCATCAACACAATATCTCTTATAAAGATGGTAGAGATCGGACCTCCCTATAAAGGGTCAAGATTTTGAATAACCAAAACGATCATAAAATCCGAATCTATTCAGACTTGGTGCATCTAAATATTTCCATCAACACAAGATCTGTTATAAAGATGGTGGAGATCGGACCTCTACCACATAGGGTCAAAGTTTTGAAGCTCATTAAACGTGAAAATAACATCAGATTCCATTCAGACTTGGTGCATCTCAATATTTTCTGAACACAATATCTGTTATAAAGATGGTAGAGATCGGGCCATTTCTTCTGGTACCTCTCCTACAAAGGGTCAAAAATTTGAATTACGAAAACGATTATAAGATCCGAAATAAGCATCCGTTTCTCTTAATATTTCACACATCGCATTTTTTTTACTAACACAAGATCTACTGTGCAGATGGGATATATCGGTCCACTCCTTTTGGTACCTCTCCCTCATAGATCAAAATTTTGAATATCCATGGAACTCATAAAACGCGAATTTAACATCCAATTCCATTCAGACTTGGTATATTTCAATATTTCTATTCTTCTGGTACCTACCTCCAAGAATCAACATTTTGAATAACCAAAACGATCATAAAATCCGAATCTATTCAGACTTGTTGCAGTTCAGTATTTCCATCAACACAAGATATGTTATAAAGATTCTGGTACCTCTCCCATAAAGCGTCAAAGTTTTGAATATCAATGAAGCCCATTAAACGTGAAATTAACATCCGCTTCCATTCAGACTTGGCACATCTCCATATTTCTATTTTTCTGATACCTACCCTACAAAGGTTCAACATTTTGAATAACCAAAACGATCATAAAATCCGAAATAAACATCAGGTTCTCTAAAAATATCATACCTGCCATTAGATTAACTAACACAAGATCTGCGTAAAATAAGCATCCAACTCTCTTCGAATTTCACACATACAAACATTTTTGCCAATGCAAGATCTGCTGTGAAGATGGTATACATCTGCCAACCCCTTCAGGTATCTCACCCACAATGGGTCACAATTTCCAATGCTTATATCTGTCATAACTTGCGAAACAAGTCGGCGATTCTATACCACTATCTATATCTAAATATTTCCCTTAGCCAGAAATCTGATATGAATAAGTAGTTTATCGGAACTAATGATTTCGTATAAAATTGGATATAAATCTTCGATTTCTCTTAAATTTTGCACACACTATATTTTTTCACCTTATACAGGTGAAGTGGAATGGTCTGCTATATCTGGTACCTTCCGCATATTTCCACATTGTCCAAAAATTGACACATAACTCATATAGAGTGTAGGAAGTAGACGATATAGTGAAAATAAGGCACGTTGTAATATTTATACCAAACTTAGGTCAGATACGAATTGGACAATATTGGCCAACTGCTTCGGAACTTCCCCCATAAAGGGTCAACAGTGTAAATAATTATAACTCAAGACTAGGGGTATACATCTGTCGGCAAAACCGACTGATACTATTTTATTTGTTTGTTTTGTTATTGCCAATGGAGGAATTGGACAAGCGATTTTCCGTCTTTTTAAACCAAGCCAATTTTTTCACATTTGCCCTTAAGGCCCTTCTTCCTATATATCATTAAACTTATTTCTATTCTAGATGAGAATCGCTATGAACGCAACTATTTCCGCTATGTCATCGAGCAAAAGGAAATTGTCAGGGCCATTACAAATCTTGCCAATGGCCTGATGATGTTCAAACCCAATATCGATGACTTCCTAAAGGATATTTACAACAAACACAAATATCTCTGGTCCGCCGAACGGGAAACGATAATCGAGAATTTCGTCAATACAAATCCCCTAACCGTGGATATACGGGATAAGTTTATATATTACGACGAAATAACAGAACAGCTGGAAAATGCCATGCCGCGTCATGTCATTGGACCCATTGAAATTCGCATGGGTAGGTGGGAATAAGGGATAAAAGGGGTCTATTTCTCTATGACGTCACGAATTTGAATGCGAAAAATATCCCAATTAAAAATTCGCTTTTCCCAATGTTTGATTTTATTTAATTAAATCAAAAATTTAAAAATCATGTTTGGAATGGTATTTTTCGTTTGCATTCACTTTCGTATTGTCATAAAGAAAAAGGTCTTCAGATTCATCTTCGCCATTTCGATTTTACAGAGAAAACCTACGTGAAATTTGTTGGGGAATCGAAAAAATGGAAAACCTGTTTGGGTCAGCTGCTCAGTGCTCGTTACAAAAAACAATTGGATGAAATGGTTGACTTCATAACGGAACAGGAAAATATACTAGCAAAACCAATCAACGATCTCGACGATGTGCGTCTGGCCATGTTGTGTTTGGAAAAGATTCGAGATAACTTTATTGAGTAAGAAAGCTAATTCGATATTTTGATTATTTAACCTCTAATTTATTCCCATTTTTCATAGGATGGATATGCATTTGGGCGTTATTGTCGATGCTTATGGCATATTTTCCCAATTTAATATTTATATACCACGCGATGACTATGATAAGGTTGATAGTCTTCAATTGTCCTTCAATCAAATGCTGAATAATGTAAGTATAAGAGATTTTACCTTTTTGTAGTGTTTTGTGTTGGAACCGAGAAACGGTATGGGGAGGAGTTTTTTGGGAATTTTGGGGCAATTTAGGGTATGAATATTGGACAGGTTTGGGGTACTTGTTTACTGCAGCTATATATCATCTCCAGAAAGTTAGATAATAATCAAGCAAAACTAATCATTGAAAATGTGGTTACTAACCCATTACTTTAACAAGCGCATGTTGCATGAAATAAGTAGTTTTTTTGGGCACATTGGTCAGAAATACTACAAATTTCGTCCAACGCGCCCTTGTTAAAATAACCAAGTTTTTTTTTTGAAATGATTGTATTCTGAAATTCACTTGGGCCTTGGCCATCAAAGATTTGAGATAAAACAGTAGTTAAGGCCTGTCTACATATCGTTCTGGAATCATATGTAAAGTCATTCCTTAATTTTTATACCCTCCACCATAGTATGGAGGGTATATTAAGTTTGTCATTCCGTTTGTAACACCTCGAAATATACGTTTTAGACCCTACAAAGTATATATATTCTTGATCAGCATAAAATTCTATGTCGATTTAACAATGTCCGCCCGTCTATCCGTCTGTGGAAATCACTCTAGCTTCCGAACGAAATGAAGTAAGTTGAAAAAGGGCCATGTAGGGCCACTTCTTCGTATAGCCCCCATATAACGGTACCCCCCCGATATTCGGTATTTTGATGATTTTAGCGACATTATTTACCAGAACTATTTCGAATTTAGTATTAGAAGTTCTTAATGAATACTACAGCCTATGACAGAAAATTGTCTGTGCAGGTCCACGTCTTCGTATAGGCCCCATATAACGGTACCTCCCGATATTCGGTATTTTGATGATTTTAGCGACATTATTTACCGAAATTGTTTCAAATTTGGCATTGAAAGTTCGTAATGAATACTACAGCCTTTGACAGAAAATTATCAGTGCAGGTCCACGTCTTCGTATAGGCCCCATATAACGGTACCCCATATATACGGTATTTTGATGATTTTAGCGACATTATTTACCGGAATCATTTCAAATTTTGTATTTGAAGTTCGTAATGGATAGTACAGCCTATGCCAGAAAATTGTCTGTGCAGGCTTTTGATAAATGTTGCGTATGGAGGTCCACGTCTTCGGTATTTTTAAGATTTTAGCAGAATTTTCAATGGATTTTAATATTTTTTTAAATTGCCAAATTTGTACCAAATGGTGGAGGGTATTCAAAGTGCGGCCCGGCCGAACTTATAGCTTTTTTACTTGTTACAATTTGTATTTTTATAGCATAGTTTTAGGCGCATCTAATAAATTTTAATCTAAAAGGAAATGCTATCCATCCACATCAGGATTAGCGAAAATACCTCCCATGTGAAATTAAACACACCTCGCACACAATCATAGTTTTGTGTATAAAACTCACCATCGATCAGTAAACTCACCACAAGAACTGTCCACTTGTTTACCAACAACAAATTTTCTTTGCAGAGAGAGAGAGTAGATTTTCAGCTTTAAATGACATAGGAAGGTTCGGTCGCTTGATTTCATAATTTTCAATTTCCCAAAGAATTATCGAGAGAGAGGGAGAGTTACTCTCTCGATGTTCACGTCACAGACACAATCAATGCTTTTTTTGTTGGTAGTGGTTATCTAGTCCTGATCTACATTAAAAAAGAGTAAAGTAATTGGCTGACTAACTGACTGTCTTAACGATTCATAAACGCCCAGACGAAACAGTTGCAACTAGAATCTTGAAATTTTGGGTGAGGGTCATTCTGGGTCCGAAGGTGTCAGATGAGCCTGGGTTTTTGGAAATACGTTCAAGGACGGTACGAAAAGTAGTAAATGCTACTGAATGTGGTTCCCTCTTAGGACTCTTAAATTTGGAATGAGGGTCACAAATAGAGTGTATGATAGATGTACAAAAGGGTTTTTGAAAACTCGTACTTTAAGTGTACGAAAAATACTAAAATATACAATTTCGTATCATGTTAACGGTTAGAGCTAAAAACTTGAAATTCGGAATGGGAATCAAAGTAGAGGAGTAGAGTCCATGTAAGGAGTTTTTTTTTGGAAGTATGTACTCATGTATACGAAAAGTACTAAACGGTACTAAATTTGGTACAATTCGAATTTGGAGAAACGGATGGAGCTGGAATCCTGAAATTTGAAATTAACTCTACTTGCGGAGAGTAGGATTTGGTACATTTTGGATTTGAGTGAACCGGACTGGAATTGAGATTACTGTGGAAGTGTAGGATTGGGATTTATAGGAAGTTTTGGAAATTCATACTCATGCGTACTAGATGTTACTAAATTTGTTACAATTTTGATTTGGGTGTACCGATAAAGTTGGAATGCTGAAATTTTGATATGAGATTACTATTACGTTGTAGGACTGATGCATGTTAGTAGTTTTGAAAATGCGTACTTATGTGTACTAAATGTTACTAAATTTGGTACAATTTCGATTTGGGTGAACCGATAGAGCTGGAATGTTGAAATTTGGAATAAGGATTACTGTTGAAGTGCAGGATTGGGGTATGTAGGAAGTTTTGGAAATTCCTACTTATGTGTACTAAATGGTACTAAATTTGGATGTGAGTGAATCGGTAAAGTTAGAATCCTGTAATTTGGAAATAAAATTTCCATTGGATTGTATGATGTAAGTTGTTATGGAAATTTGTACTTATGTGAACTAAATGTACTCAATTTGGATTTAGGTGAACCAATAGAGCAGGAATCCTGCAATTTGGAATTTAGATTACTCTTGGAGTGTAGAATGGAGATATGGAGGTAACTTTAGAAATTTGCTGGAATGCTGAAATTTGGAATTTAGATTGCTGTTGGAGTGTAGGATTGGGTATATAAAAAGCTTTGACAATTCGTACTTGTATGTACTAAATGGTACTAAATTTGGTACAATTTGTTTTTGGGTGAAATGATATGGCCGGATTCCTGATATTGGGAATTATATATTAATTAGTTTGTATGATGCAGGTTATTAGGGAAAATTGTGTTTATGGTACTAAATTTGGTACAAATTGAAATTGTGGTGAACCGATGCAGCTGAAATTCTGTACCTTTCGTACAAGGGCTGGAATCCTGAGATATGATATCGATGTCACTATTGACCTGTGACTGTGTGAAGAAGATGGTATTGGATATGCGTACTTTAATGGTACTAAATATGGTAAAGAGGGATATTGAAGAGTTGAAATCCGTAAATTTAATATAGAGGCCACTGCTGTTATCTGAGGTTGAGATATGGAAATTTTCTCGAAAATTAGTAAATCCTGAAATTTAATATGGATGTCACTATTGGTTTATAGATGCGAAAAGCAGCTGGTTTAGGATCTGCGCCACATAATTGTATTTAATGGTACTAAATTTCATAATGGGGGGAAGTTAAAAATCTGAATTCCTGAAATTTGATATTGAGGTCTCTGTTGATATCTAAAATTGAGATATGGAAGTGGTTTTGGAAAAGTGTGCTATAACTGTGTAAAAAGTACTAAATTTGGTATTTTGGTAAGGAATAAAGTTTGAATACTGACATTTGGAATGGAGGTCAATGTTCGTGTCTGTGGTTGAGAGAAGAAGTAGATTTTGGTTATATGAACTATAATTGTACTAAATAGTACTATATTTGGTAATAGGGAATATTTAATACCTGAAATCTTGAAATTTGATATTGAGGTCTTTGTTGGTGTAAGGAATTGGTTTTGGAAGTGTTTGCTATAATTGGACGAAAAGTACTAAATAGTACTAAATTTGGTATAGGGTGAAGGATAGGGTGAGATCTCTGTTGGTATCCGATGTTGAGACCTAGTAGTGGTTTTGCAAATGCGTACTATAACTGTTCGAAAAGTACTAAATGTTGCTAATTTTGGGCCTCTGTTGGTGTTTATGATGGAAAGATGTAGATTATTTTGGATATGCGTACTAAATGTTACTCTTTGGCAAAACTACACATGAAACAAGAAAAAAGCTGTTACTTCGGCCCGGACGAACTTGAGATACCCTGCACTATTATGAAGGAACTTGAAATATTCCCAAAAAAAATTGTTTTGAAAAATACCACTCAAGGGAATACCTTTATATGGGGGCAATACGAAGAAGGGTCCTGCATAAGTAATTTTTTTTTGTCATAGGCCGAACTTTCAATCCAAAATTAGAAACATTTTCGGTGGCTAATATCATTAAAATACCGAATAAAGGAATGCGCCGTTATATGTGGACGTGGACCATTCCGGTAAAAAATGTTCCGGTAAAAAATGTTGTTTAAATAATAAAAATACCGAATATCGAGGGCTACCATTATATGAGGGCTATATGATATCGTGGACCAATAAAGCCCACCTTCGAACTTGACCCGGTTGCAGACAAAGGACTGAACTGTGCAAAATTTAATCTCCCTATATTAATTCGTTTTAAATCTAAATCCTATCATATTTTTACGCTGATCAAGAATATGTATACTTTGTTAGGTCTAAAATTATTATTTCAATGAGTTACAAACGGAATGACGAACTTAATATACCCTCGATACTATGTATGGTCGAGGGTATAAAAATCGAAATCGACTTTTATTTGGAAATACAAAATCTATTTTTGACTGATGGGATCGATATCAGAAGATCGAAAAGTCAACTTTTGCCTTTGATTGATATACCTATAATATATAATATAATCAGGGACGTTGGCGGCAGGGTTGTCCCTAGGGGCCGGCACTTCCAAAATGGTTACTATTCTGCATGGAATCTGTAGCTTTTTACCATTTAGGTCTCCCCCCAGAATTTGAAATGTGAAAGTTCCAATCTACGTTTTACGAAAATAAACTATTAGAGACACTCTATTTTCAGAATAGGTCTCCAAAACATTACCGTATCGCCATCTTATAACTCTCAACTCCGTTCCCATTTTCATTTTAAAATTTTAATGAATTTCATTTCCCCCCTTTTTATTTTCTATTACCCCCCTCACAGACCAAAAACGTCTCGAATCGTATTGCCGAAATGGAGGGTCCCCTACTTACCGAACTAACCAATGGCATTGCCGAATTTGTTCAAGAATTTGAACAATTCAATATCGACTTTGAGGCCAATGGACCAATGGTTGATGGCATCTCGGCAAAGGAGGCCAGTGATCGTGTGTTCCTCTTTCAGAATCGTTTCGACGAGCTGTGGCGTAAATATGAAATGTACAACAGTGGAGAGAAGCTGTTCGGCCTGCCTGTCACCGATTATCCTCTGCTGCATCAGAGGAAACGAGAATTCAATTATTTGAATCGTTTGTATTCGCTGTATATTCAGGTGTTGAAAACCATTGCCGATTATTACGAAATGCCTTGGTCCGAGGTGGACATTGAGAAAATATCCACCGATTTGGCTGACTTCCAGGTGCGTTGTCGCAAATTGCCCAAAGGCATGCAAACGTGGCCGGCATATATTGTGTTGAAGACAAAAATCGATGATTTCAATGAGACATGTCCGCTGCTGGAGCTGATGACCAACAAGGCCATGAAGGAGAGACATTGGGTGCGGCTAAATGCTCTGCTGCAAACCGATTTTGATCCGACAAGTTTTAAGTTTACCTTGGGAAGGTTGTTGGAGGCACCGATTTTACAGAACAAGGAGGACGTGGAGGATATCTGTGTGGGAGCGGGCAAGGAATTGGATATTGAGGCGAAATTGAAACAGGTCATCGTGGATTGGTCGGTGGTGAATATTCAATTGGGAATGTTCAAAAATCGCGGCGAGCTAGTGCTGAAGGGTGGCGAGACTCTGGAGATTATAGCTGCCCTGGAGGATAGCATTATGGTCATGAATTCATTGTCATCGAATCGCTACAATGCCCCGTTTAAAAAGGACATCCAATTGTGGCTAAGTAAATTGGTCAATACCGGAGAGATATTGGAAAAATGGTTAATGGTTCAAAATCTGTGGATTTACCTGGAGGCAGTGTTTGTGGGTGGTGATATAGCCAAGCAATTGCCTATGGAAGCGAAGCGTTTCACAAACATCGACAAGAATTATGTCAAGATTATGTACCGGGCCCGTGAGATACCCAATGCCGTGGAGTGTTGTACGGCAGATGAGAATTTGGCCAATACCTTGACTTGGCTCTTGGATCAGCTGGAGACTTGTCAGAAATCTTTGACAGGGTACTTGGAATCGAAGAGATTGTTGTTTCCACGTTTCTTTTTTGTGTCGGATCCGGTGTTGTTGGAGATATTGGGTCAGTCATCGGACCCTACCTCGATTCAGCAGCATTTGTTGAGTATTTTCGATGCGGTGGCATATGTAAGGGGAAGGGGGAGGAGGAGTAACATCTTTAGGCGGGAGTGATTAATAATTTATTTTTCCAGGTTGACTTCCAGGGCACCGATGTCATTGTGGCTCTGAATTCTTCAAATCATGAAAAAATTGCCCTGGAAAATCCTGTCCAGTGCGTGGGCAGTGTTGAAATCTGGTTGAATCGTCTGCTCAAAGAAATGCAGGACACAATGCGTACCGTACTGGCCGGCATGGCAGTTAGCCTCAATGATCCTCAGTTTAATTTTGCCGAGGAATTTGCCTCATTCTGTGGCCAGGCTGGCATCATTGGTGTCCAGTTGCTGTGGACGCGAGATGCCGAATATGCCCTGCGTAAATGTCGCACCGACAAGGGTATTATGAAGCGAACGAATACCAAGTTTTTGAATTTGTTAAATCATTTCATCGACTTGACGGTGAAGGACTTGACTCCCTTGGATCGGATTCGTTTCGAGACCATGGTGACAATACATGTGCATCAGAGGTGGGTGAGGGAGGGGGAGGAGGCCGAGGGCGGAATATTTATATCTTGTTAAATTTTTATTTCAGGGATATCTTTGACGATTTGTGTAACATGCGCATCCGTTCCGCCGGTGACTTTGAGTGGCAGAAACAGGCCCGTTTCTATTATAACGATGAGAATGACGACATTATTGTGGGCATTACCGATGTCAACTTTATATACCAAAATGAATATCTGGGGGTCACGGAGAGATTGGCCATAACCCCATTGACGGATCGTTGTTATATTACGCTGGCCCAGGCTATTGGTAAGTTTTTGGTGTCACAGAATCAATGGTTTGAACTTTATATTGAAAAAGAAAACAAGGATAATTGCATTACAGATCGTGGCCATGGGGGTACCAGTGGTGGCCATGGAGTACCGGACACTTCAAAATGTTCTTAAAATTTAATTTTTTACCATTTGGTTTCCTAAGAAGTTCCTGTAATCTGGTGTATTTTAGAGAGCAATACTTTCATTCCCTGTTGTCAACTTTTGCAGGCATGTCAATGGGCGGTGCCCCAGCCGGTCCCGCTGGTACTGGAAAAACAGAAACCACCAAAGACATGGGTCGGGCCTTGGGTAAACTGGTTGTGGTATTCAATTGTTCGGATCAAATGGATTTTCGTGGCCTGGGTCGTATCTACAAGGGTTTGGCTCAGTCCGGATCATGGGGATGTTTTGATGAATTCAATCGAATTGAACTGCCCGTACTCTCTGTGGCGGCTCAACAAATTTAGTAAGTATTGGATGAGTGTTCTATTGTTCGGATTCTTTACAATTCGAATTGAGGATTATGTCAGTTAGAATAAGAATTGGCCTAGCTCAAATCTTTAAATGCAAACAGTGCAGAATTGCGGTTAATATTGTTCGTTAGGTACACGTTGGGCGCCACTGCTACACGTTGGGCGCTACAGCAGTTATCAACATGCTGACACAACTTCTTCACATTTACATTTCTTGGTCCCGATCTAGATATGGGAAATTTCATGGAACAAAATTCCATGATATTGTGGGTTTTCAGGTGAAGAAGGTTATGATTCCGCCTGAGAACCCGAAAGATACCATGTCATTCGCCTAAAGACTCTTACGATTTTTACACCCTCAACCATATGGTTAGAGAGGGTATATATAGCATTTGATACGGCCAAAACGTGCCTCATCGAAATAAGGGTCGTTTCGAAATAAAGGTCGTTTCAGGACATTTGTAGTCGATCTAGGGGTGTCCATTCATCCGTCCATCTGTCTGGCTGGCTGATGCTCACGATAACTCTTGAAGGGAGTATCCGATTTGGTAACTTCGTAATATTATTCTCAAACTTAGATCGCGTTCGGTTATGGGCAATATCGGTTCATTTCTTCTGGTACCTCCACCACAAAAGGTCGAAATTTGCAAACAAATATTTTGCTGCACAGAAAGAGAAAGGATAAGCAGATTTTGCTCCAACTTTGCAAATCCTTATATTTGCTCCAGTGCTAGGTCAGGTGTGAAAATGGCCAAGATCGGTCCACTCCTTCTGTTACCTCCCCCACAAAGGGTCAACATTTTTAATATATATGAAGCTGGTAAAACGCGAATTTAACATCCAATTCCAATCAAACTTGGTACATCTCAATATTTCCATCAACGTAAGATCTGTCATAAAGATGGTAGAGATCGGACCATTTCTTCTGGTACCTCTCACACAAAGGGTCCAAATTTTGAATATCCAAAACGATTATAAAATCCGAAATAAGCATCCGATTCGCTTCATATTTCACGTATCCTATTATTTCTACATATCCCATTATTTCTAAGATCTGCTGTGAAGATGTTTTATATCGGCCCTCTCCTTCTGGTATCTCCCCCACAAAGGTTCAATATTTTGGCACATCTCAATATTTTCCATCTTTATATGTTATAAAGATGGTAGAGATCGGACCCACCAAACGTTAAAATTTTGCATAACCAAAACGATTACAAAATCCGAAATAAGCATCCGGTTCACTTCATATTTTACACATTCCGAAGATGGGATATATCGGTTCACTCCTTCTGGTACCTTGCCCACAAAGGATCAAAAATTTGAATATCCATGAAGCTCATAAAATGTGAAATTAACATTCGATTCCATTCAGACTTGATTTTGAGTGAGGGTCACTGTGGGTGCGAAGATGTCAGATAAGGTTGTGTTTTTGGAAATTCGTATTAGAACGGTACGAAAAGCACTAAAGGTTACTAAATATGCCATTACCATTTGTATTTGAAGAATAAGTAAAGCTAAATCTCATAAGGTGAGAATACATAAAACGCTTTTTTGACTGACTTAAGCCATCGGCTGGCTGGCTTCGTAGAGAAATAAGAGAGTTTATGTTGAATTAGTTCGATTTTGTCCCTACACTCCTTTGTTCCTTTCCGAAGAAACTAGCCGATGACTTAAGCCAGTCAAAAAAGCGTTTTATGTATTCTCACCTTTAAGTTTGGAATGAGGGTCACTAATGGAGTGTATGATGAATGTACCAAAGGCTTTTTGGAAATTCTTACTATAAGTGTACAATAAGTACTAGAATTTTCCACATTTGGTACCATTTCGTATCAAATGAAAGGTTTGAGTTAAAAACTAGAAATTTGGAATGGGAATCAAGGTTGAGGAATAGGTCCTATGTGAGGAAGTAATCTTGAAAGTGTGTTCCCAGGTATACGAAAAGTAATAAACGGTACTAAATTTGGTGCAATTTGAATTTTGGAGGAACAGATGGAGCTGGAATCCTGAAATTTGAAATTAACATTACTGGCTTAGTGAAGGATTGGGATATGGAGGCAATTTTTTAAAATTGTACTTATGTCCACGAATAGTACTAGTACTGATATCGTTTTGGGTGTATCGATCTAGAGGAAATGCTGAAATTTGAAATTAGGATTATTGTTGCAGTATAAAAATTGGGGTATGTGGGAAGCTTTTTTGAATTTGTACTTATGTGTACAAAATGGTACTAAATTTGGATTTGGGTAAACCGGTAGAGCTGAAATCTTAAAATTTGGAGAAACGATTTCTATGGTATCGTATGATGCAGGTTGTTATAGAAAATTGTACTTATGTGTACTATTTTTGGTAAAACTTGAATTTAGGGTGATCCGATAGAGCTGGAATTCTGAAATTGGGAAATAAGACTTATATGGGATTGTATAACTGGGGTATGAAAGTAGTTTTGGAAATTTGGAGTGTAGAGTTGGAGTGTTAGGGAAGTTTTGGAAATTCATACCTATGTGACCTATATGGTACAAAAGGTAGAATTCTTATTTGGGTATACCGATAGGGGGGGTCTTCAAAGTTGGAATTTGGATTTCTTTGGGAGTGAAGGATTGTAGTATATAGGAAGATTTCTAAATTCGTACTTATGTGTACTAAATGGTACTAAATTTGGGATAATTTGGAGTTCAGTGAATCGATGGGTCTGGAACTTTAAAATTTGGAGGTAAGATTCTATGGGATTTTATAATTGAGGTATGGAGAAAGTTTTTGAAATTTAGAGTGTGAGAACTTTTACAAATTCGTACTTATGTGTACGAAATGGTACTAAATTTGGTACAATTTAAATTTTGGCTGGTAGAGATGGAGTACTGAAATTTGGAAATAAAATTTATATTGGATTGTATGATGCAGATTGTTGTGGAAATTTGTGCGTATGTGTACTAAATTGGACTAAATTTGGTACAATTTGGATTTGGGTGAACCAAAGAGCTGCAATCCTGAAATTTTGGAATTTAGATTACCTTTGAAATATAGGATTGGGGTATGTAGGAAGCTTTCTAAATTCCTACTTATGTGTACTAAATGGTACTAAATTTGGGATAATTTGGATAATTGATAGGGCTGGAATCCAGAAATTGGGAAATAAAATTTCTTTTGGATTGTATGATGCAGGTTATGGAAATTTGTGCGTATGTGTAGTAAATGGTACTAAATTTGGTACAAAATGGAATTGTGGTGAACCGATAGAACTGGAACTGAGAAATTTAGAAATAAGGATAAGGGGGTTTGTATGATTGAGGTATGGAGATAATTTTGGAAATTTGGGTTGTAGGAAGTTTTGGAAATTTGTACTTATGTGTACTAAATTTGGTACAATTTAAATTTTGGGAGAACTGTTGAATTCGAATTCTAAAATTTGAAAATAGCATTCCTTTTGAATTATATGAAGTAGGTAGGTATGGAAATTGGTTCGCATGTGTACTACATGGTACTAAATTTGGTACAATTTGGATTTGGGTGAACCAATAGAACTGAAACTATCAAATTTTGACATAAGATTCAATAGGATTTTGATTTCGAGTCAATGTTGGTCAGTGAGAAAAGGCTGGGTTTTTGGAAATTTGGAATAGATGTGTATTAAAATGCACTATATTTCGTACCTTTTGGTATTTTCTGAACGGATTCAGCTGAAATCTTGACATTCGGTATAAAAGCTAAGTTTGGTATGTATTGTTGATATACATAAGTAGGGGTTTATGGAAATGTTTCCAAGTGTAACAACTGAACTAAATGGTACGTTGGTTGAACGGATTGATGTTGAATTGGTATTGCGGTCTCTCAGCTAGTGTACAAATGGTACTAAATCTGGATTTTGGGTAAGGGATTGAGTTGGAAGTCAAAATTTGGCATTAGGATACATGGCGGGGAATTTGGAATTACGTACTAAAGAGAATAAAAAGTACTAAATAGTATTAACTTGACTATTTGGGGAAGGAAAATAGAGCTGAAAATCTGAAATTTGGAGTGAGAGTCTTTGATAAATTTGGTACCATTTGGAATTATGTGAACGTATCGTGGGAAAATCTTCAAAAAAATTTATTAGAATCGATTCCTGAAAATGGGGTTGATGTAAGAGGCGAGCTTTGGAAATGAGTACTAAGCATAAGAACTGTACTAAATGGGGTTGGAAATTTGTTCAGCAAGCGTACGAAATGTACTAATGGTACTGATATTGAGATTGGGTAGTGGTTTGGGAAATACGTACTAAAAAGTACTAAATTTGATATATGAGGAAGGGATAGAGCTGAAAATCTGAAATTTGAATTTTGTATTTTAACCCAACGTTCACTTTATTTTTTAGCATTGTTCTGACAGCGCGCAAGGAGAAGCGAACCTCTTTTATCTTCAGCGATGGTGATTTGGTTACCCTTAATCCAGAATTTGGCCTTTTTATTACCATGAATCCCGGCTATGCTGGTCGCCAAGAATTACCTGAGAATCTTAAAATTATGTTCCGAACGGTGGCCATGATGGTACCGGATCGAGCCATTATCATTCGTGTCAAATTGGCCAGTTGTGGTTTTAAAGAAAATCTAGTTTTATCCCGCAAATTCTTTACCCTCTACAAATTGTGCGAGGAACAACTCTCCAAGCAGGTCCATTATGATTTCGGGTTGCGGAACATATTGTCGGTTCTGCGGACGCTGGGTGCCCAGAAACGGGCCAATGCTAGTGATACCGAGGAAACGATTGTAATGCGTGTCCTGCGTGACATGAATGTCTCCAAGCTCATCGATGAGGATGAGGGATTATTTTTGTCTCTGATTGAAGATATGTTTCCGGGCATAAAATTGACAACGGCTGCCCACAAGGATTTGCAAAGGGCCCTTAGCAAGGTGACCGAGGATTTGGGTTATGTCAACAATCCGGAATGGAATCTAAAGGTGGTTCAGCTGTATGAAACATCGCTGGTGCGACATGGCCTCATGTTGATGGGTCCAACGGGATCGGGTAAGACCAGTTGCACCATTGCCATGCTGCGGTGCTTTACGGAAATGGGCCACCCGCACAAGGAGATGAGAATGAATCCCAAGGCCATAACGGCCCCACAAATGTTTGGCCGTTTGGATGTGGCCACCAACGATTGGACGGATGGTATTTTCTCCACTCTGTGGAGGCGCTCATTGAAGGTGCCTAAACATCAAAACACTTGGATTGTTTTGGATGGCCCCGTGGATGCAGTGTGGATTGAGAATTTGAATTCTGTTTTGGATGACAACAAGACACTGACCTTGGCCAATGGTGATCGCATCAAAATGGCTGAGAATTCGAAATTGGTGTTTGAGCCGGACAATGTGGACAATGCATCGCCGGCCACGGTTTCCAGGGTGGGTATGACCTTTATGAGTTCATCGGTGCTGAAATGGAATGTTTATATGGAGGGTAGGTGGCGAGGGGGTCTTTCTCCCTTAGCGAAATTAGGCATTTGATATCAATTGATTTTTTCTAGCTTGGGTCAGACGCCAGCCCCCTTTCGAACAGGATGTGTTCCGCCGCTGCTTTACTGCCATATACGATGAGGCCCATTTGTATCTGCAGACCAAGCTAATTGCCAAAATGAAAATTCTGGAGGCGATTTATATTAAACAGCTGCTGGAAATTATGGATGGCTTGCTGAGCGATTGCAGTAATCGATCGGAGAGATTTTTGGAGAGAACTTTTCTCTTTTCCATGATGTGGACATTGGGAGCGGTGCTGGAAATCAATGAGCGCGATAAATTGGAGGAATTCTTCCTGAAGCATCCATCGAAATTGAGTAAAGTTGAAACAGGATTTTTTTTTAATTTTTTTCTAACCATTTCCCCTCCTAGAATGGCCCAAAAAACAACCCGGAGAGACCGTCTTCGAATATTATGTTGACGAGGGTGGCAACTGGCAGCATTGGAATAATCGTGTAGAAAAATTCATTTACCCCGAAGATTCGATACCTGAATTCTCTTCAATTCTAGTGCCGAATGTTGACAACGTTCGAACCGCCTTTCTAATGCACAACATTGCCAAGCAAAGGAAACAGGTGCTGTTGATCGGTGAACAGGGTACAGCCAAGACCGTAATGATCAAGGGATATATGGCCAACTATGATCCCGAGTTTCATTTGTCGAAATCTTTTAATTTTTCATCGGCCACCACGCCGAATATGTATCAGGTATTGAGGATGGGAAAAATGGGAGGAACTCTTTTATTGCTTTATTCTTAAAATATCTTTTAGCGAATCATTGAATCCTATGTTGAAAAGAGGGTAGGCACCACCTATGGCCCACCTGGTCAGAGATCAATGACCATATTTATCGACGATATCAACATGCCGGTTATAAATGCCTGGGGCGATCAGATAACCAATGAAATTGTGCGCCAAATGATCGAGCAGAGAGGATTTTATTCTTTGGATAAACCAGGTGAGAACTTAAAGAGGATTAGATAAATTTTCGAAATTCGCTGAAATTTTCGGAAATTTTTTCTATAAAAAAAACATTTTTCTATAGAAAAATATAAACAATTTTCTTATAGGAAAATGAGCTTTTCGCCAAATTTTTTTTTAATTTAGAAAAACAGGAAATTCACCCAACCTTTTCCTTAAAAATAGGCAGAGCGTCGAACTTGTTTCTTTAGGAAAATAGGCAATTCGCTGAATTTTTCTCTATGGAAAAATAGGCAATTCGCCGGAGTTTTTTATATTTAGAAAAAGAGTCAATTTTTTTCATTAGAAACATTTTTTCTTTAGAAAAAGGGGCAATTCGCCTGATCTTTTACTTAACAGAAATAAGTAATTCACCGAACTCTTTTCTTTAGAAAAATAGATAATTCACCAAAATGTTTCTTTAGAAAAATAGGCAGTTCGCTTATTTTTTTTTTAGAAAATGCCAATTCGCCGCACACTTTTCTTTAGAAACATTGACAATTCGCCGAAATCTTTCCTTTAGAAAAATAAGTAATTCTCCAAAGTTTTTTCTTTGGAAAATAGGCAACTCACGATTTTTTTTTTGGAAAAATAGGTAATTCGGCAAAAAATTTTCTATATAAAAATATGCAATTCGCCAGCATTTTGTCTTTAGAAAAATACGCAATTTTTCTTCAGAAAAATAAGTAATTCGTATCAATTTGCAGATTTTTTTCTTTAGAATAAAAGGATTTTGTTGTCTATAACAAAAAAGTCGAGTCGACGATTTTATTTTCTATAGAAAAAAGTCAATTCGCTGTAATTTTTTCTATAGGAAAGATTCGTCATTTTGCCGATTTTTTGTTCTATGAAAAAATAAAATAAATTCGGCAAACTCCTTTTCTATAGAAAAAGTCAATTCGCCGAACGCTTTTTCTATAGGAAAAATACAATTCGCCGAACTTTTTTCTATAGGAAAAAAGACAATTCGCCGAACTTTTTTTCTATAGGAAAAAGGACAATTCGCCGAACTTTTTTTTCTATAGGAAAAAAGACAATTCGCCAAAATTTTTTCTATAGGAAAAAAGACAATTCGCCGTACTTTTTTCTATAAGAAAAAGGACAATTCGCCGAACTTTTTTTCTATAGGAAAAAAGACAATTCGCCAAACTTTTTTCTATAGGAAAAAAGACAATTCGCCGAACCTTTTTCTATAGGAAAAAAGACAATTCGCCAAACTTTTTTCTATAGGAAAAAAGACAATTCGCCAAACTTTTTTCTAAAGGAAAAAAGACAATTCGCCGAACTTTTTTTCTATAGAAAAAAAGTCAATTTGCCGAACTCTTTTTCTATAGAAAAAAAGTCAATTTGCCGAACTCTTTTTCTATAGAAAAAAAGTCAATTTGCCGAACTCTTTTTCTATAGAAAAAAAGTCAATTTGCCGAACTCTTTTTCTATAGAAAAAAGTCAATTTGCCGAACTCTTTTTCTACAGAAAAAAGTCAATTTGCCGAACTCTTTTTCTATAGGAAAAAATACAATTCGCCGAACTTTTTTCTATTGGAAAAAATACAATTCGCCGAACTTTTTTCTATAGAAAAAAAGTCAACTTGCCGAACTCTTTTTCTATAGGAAAAAAGACAATTCGCCGAACTCTTTTTCTATAGGAAAAAAAGACAATTCGCCCAACTTTTTTCTGTAGGAAAAAAGACAATTCGCCCAACTCTTTTTCTATAGGAAAAAAGACAATTCGCCAATCTCTTTTTCTATAGGAAAAAAGACAATTCGCCAAACTCTTTTTCTATAGGAAAAAAGACAATTCGCCGACCTTTTTTCTATAGGAAAAAAATAATTCGCCGAACTTTTTTCTATAGGAGAAAAACAATTTGCCGAACTTTTTTCTATAGGAAAAAAGACAAATCGCCGAACTCTTTTTCTATAGGAAAAAAAGATAATTCGCCCAACTTTTTTCTGTAGGAAAAAAGACAATTCGCCCAACTCTTTTTCTATAGAAAATAAGTCAATTTACCAAACTCTTTTTATGGGAAAAAAGACAATTCGCCGAACTTTTTTCTATAGGAAAAAAGACAATTCGCCGAACTTTTTTCTGTAGGAAAAAAAGTCAATTAGCCGAACTTTTTTCTATAGGAAAAAAAGTCAATTAGCCGAACTTTTTTCTATAGGAAAAAAGCCAATTCGCCTGACTTTTTACTATAGGATTTTGGTTTCTATAAAAATAGTTAGTTCGCCGAGTTTTGTTTCTATGAAAAAAATTAATTCGCCGATTTTTTCTATGAAACAAAAGTAGAATCGCCGTTTTTCTTCTATGAAGAAATATAATTCGCCATTTTTTGCTATGAAGAAAATCTAATTCGCCATTTTTTTCTATGGAAAATTTGCCACATTTCTTCTATGGAAAAGAATCAATTAAATTCTAAAAAGAAACACAAAATCATATAAGTTTCGCCGTCAATTCGCTGATTTTTATTTCTATGAAACAATTCGCCGATTATTAGTTCCTATGGAAAAAATCAATTCGCCGGAGTTTTTCTAATTAGAAAAATCAATTCTTCGTTTTTTTTCGAAGGAAAAATTCAATTCAATTCTATAAGAAAAACAAAATCATTTAAATTTCTTCCCCAACTTACCTCCACGCCTTTTCCCACCCAGGTGACTTTTCCACAATACTGGACATTCAAATATTGGCTGCCATGATCCATCCGGGCGGTGGCCGCAATGACATACCACATCGTTTGAAGCGACACATGGCCATCTTCAATTGCACGCTGCCCAGCAACAATTCCATGGATCAAATATTCAGTCAAATTGGCAGTGGTTATTTCTGTGCGGCCCGCTTTAAGGACGAAGTTGTCGAGCTGATACCCCAACTGGTGCCGCTGACTCGAATCTTTTGGCAAAATGTCAAAGTGAAAATGTTGCCGACACCATCGAATTTCCATTACGTTTTTAATTTGCGTGATTTGTCACGCATTTGGGAAGGTATGCTGAAGGTGGCCAGTGAAGAGTGTCAGACGGTATCGGATGTTTTAAAGCTGTGGCGTCATGAATGCACTCGTGTAATTGCCGATCGTTTTACTGACTATAAGGACACCAAATGGTTTATCGATCGCATGCAAAAGGATGTTCGGGCGAATTTGAGTGAAGAGTATTGGGAAGCGTTTCCCGAGGATGAGACATTCTTTGTTGATTTTCTCAGGGATCCGCCGGATGCCCAGGAAGATGATGAGGATATATCGCTGGAACCACCGAAAATCTATGAGGAGATACCAAGGTAAGGGTGTGAGGTAAATTGAAACTGAGAAAGTTGTAAGATTTTTAATGTTGTTACAGCATGGACCAGGTCAAAGATCGGGTGTTGTGGTACATGGGCCAATTCAATGAGTATGTCCGTGGTTTCCATATGGATATGGTCTTCTTCCATGATGCCTTGGTTCATTTGATAATTGTGTCGCGTATTCTGAGCATGCCACGGTAACTTATACTTTTTCTCTTTTTCTTCTCTGGAGATTAAATGTTTGTTGTTGTTCTTGCAGTGGCAACGCCCTACTTGTCGGTGTTGGTGGCTCGGGAAAACAGAGTCTGACCCGTCTGGCCTCATTCATTGCCGGCTATAAATTCTTTCAAATCACTTTGACTCGTGCCTACAATGCCGGTAATTTAATCGACGATTTGAAATATTTGTATCGCACAGCCGGTTTGGAGGGCCAGGGCATAACATTTATTTTCACCGACAATGAAATAAAGGACGAAGCCTTTTTGGAATTCATAAATAATATTTTGAGTTCGGGTGAAATCGCCAACCTCTTTGCCAAAGATGAAATGGGTAAGTGAGACAAGGTCGATGAAAACTTGATTCTGGGAAACATATTTTTTTGGGAATAAAAAATGAAATATTTTTGGGAAAATTCATTGAGTTTTTTATGAAAAATTCTTATCTGGTAATTTTAAGAAACTCTGCTGATAAAATTTAATACCCTACATATATAAACCCTACACCACACAGTGGTAAGGGTTTTATGTCTTTGTGCATTTGTTTGTAACATGGAGAAGGAAGCGAGATAGGCCCCTAGTTACTTTTGAGGATCTTCATAGAATCATTTTCTGAGTCAATTTATGCCTGTCAGTCCGCCCGTCCATGTAGTTTGGGAACAAAATACAGGACACATTTATTATCCGATTGAGATGAAATTTCCTAACAAAAAAATTTGGATGAACCCTATTGAAATTGGTAAGAATCGGTTCAAATTTAGATATAGCTCCCATATATATCTTCAACCGATTTCGGGTTAATTGTGCACCAAATGGCCAATATCAGTCCAAAAGACCTGCATTTTGGTATATTCAACCGAATTTAGTCCAGAAACAAGTATATCGAATTGGGAGAAAATCGGTTCAGATATAGCTATAGGTCCGATATATATAGGATTCATCCGATTTGGTGTTTAAGTCCCTCAAATTCGTAATATGAACCCCACCAGAATAATCTCCCGATATTCGGTATTTTCATGATTTCAGCGACATTATTTACCGGTATTATTTCAAATTTGGTATTTGAAGTTCGTAATGGATACTACAGCCTATGACAGAAAATTGTCTATGCAGACCCACCTCTTCGTATAGCCTCCATATAACGGTACCTCCTGATATTCGGTATTTTGATGATTTTAGCTACATTGTTCACCGGAATCGTTTCAAATTTGGTATTTGAAGTTCGTAATGGATACTACAGCCTATGACAGAAAATTGTCTGTACAGGTCCACGTCTTCGTATTGCCCCCATATAACGGTACCTCCCGATATTCGGTATTTTTATGATTTCAGCGACATTATTCACCGGAATTGTTTGAAATTTGGTATTTGAAGTTAGTAATTGATACTACAGCCTATGACGGAAAATTGTCCGTGCAGGTCCACGCCTTCGTCTAGCCCCCATATAATTGTATCTCCCGATATTCGGTATTTTTATGATTTCAGCGACATTATTCTCCGGAAATGTTTCCAATTTGGTATTAGAAGTTCGTAATGGATACTGCAGCCTATGACAAAAAATTGTCTGTGCAGGTCCACGCGCTCGTATAACCCCCATATAACGGTACCTCCCTTTTTCGGTATTTAGATGATTTTGGCGGCCTTATTCACCGGAATTATTTCAGATATTGTATTTGAAGTTCGTAATTGATACTACAGCCTAGGACAGAAAATTGTCCATGCAGGTCCATGTCTTCGTATATCCCTCATATAACGGTACCTTCCGATTTTCGGTATTTTGATGATTTTAGCGACATTATTTACCGGAATTGTTTCAAATTTAGTACTTGAAGTTCATAATGAGTACTACAGCCTGTGACAGAAAATTATCTGTGCAGGTCCACGTCTTCGTATAGCACTCATATAACGGTTCCTCCCGATATTCGGTATTTTAATGATTTTAGCGACACTATTCACCGGAATTGTTTCAAGTTTCGTATTTGAATATTGTAATGGCTTATGACGGAGTTTGCCTATGCAGGTCCACATCGTCGGATAGGCCCTAATATCTGTCTATATTCAGTATTTTTAAGACTTTAACAGAATTTTTAACGGATTTTTTTTTTTGAAAATTGCCAAATTCTTTCCAAATGGTGGAGGGTATTCAAAGTTCGGTCCGACCGAACTTGCAGCTTTTTTGCTTTAAATAATGTCTTGAAATTTTACAGATGAGATTTACAACGAAATCATACCCATTATGAAGAAGAAACAACCGCGACGTCCCCCAACCCAGGATAATCTTTACGATTTCTTTTTGTCAACTGCTCGTTCCAATCTGCATGTGGCCCTATGTTTCTCACCGGTAATTTTCGTAACTTCATTAAAAATACCTTCTAACCACAATCTCCCTCCCCTTCCAGATTGGTGAAAAGTTTCGAGCCCGTTCTCTAAAATTCCCCGGCCTTATATCGGGTTGTGTCATCGATTGGTTCCAAAAATGGCCTGAAGATGCCCGCATAGCTGTGTCGCGTCATTATCTTGAAAATTTCGAAATCGTTTGTGCACCAACGGTCAAAGAGAGCGTCATCGACATCATGAGCTGGATACATGAAAGTGTTTCGGAGACATGTCTCTCGTATTTCGAACGTTTTCGCAGAACGACTTTTGTTACACCCAAATCGTTGATTTCATTTTTGGAGAGTTACAAAAAACTCTACAAAGACAAACAGGAGAATATCATAGTGTTGGCGGAACGTATGTCGTCGGGTTTGGATAAGCTGGATGAGGCCGGTGCATCGGTGGCGGTATTGAAAAAGGATTTAGTTGAGATGAATAAGGTTATTGTGGTGGCCACCGAAGAGGCGGAAGTGGTGTTGCAAAATGTGGCCGAGTCGACGGCTGCAGCGGAAATAGTTAAAGCCCAAGTGGCGGAGAAGAAAGGCCAAGCGGAAGCTTTGGTCAAGATTATATCGGCCGACAAAGAGGTGGCCGAGGCGAAATTGGAAAAGGCTCGACCGGCCTTGGAGGAAGCCGAGGCGGCTTTGAAGGTATGGCAACAGAATTAGAAACAGAACTCCGCTAACTTTTTCTATGAAAAAATATCAATTCAGCCAACTTTTTCTATAGAAAAACTGAATTCGCCAAATTTCTTTCTATAGAAATACTGAACTCTGTTAACTTTTTTTGTAGAAAAAATGAATTCGACAAACCTTTCCTTTGAAAAATCCTCTTCACCAATTTTTATACCCTACAACACTATGTGTTGGGGGTATTATAAGTTTGATTGGGCCAAAAATTATGTAACACCTCGAAATATTGGTTTCCCACATAGGAAAGTATATATGGATCTTCCTAGCTCGCCGAGCTGAGTTGATCTAGCTATGTATGTCCGTCCGTCCGTCTGTCCGTCTGTCCGTCTGTCCGTCTGTCCATGTTAATTTGTAATCACTCTACAGGTCGCAATTATGGCCCGATCTTCACGAAATTTAGAATGGAGGTGGGTCTGGGGTCAGAATAGAACCCTATTTCTTTTGGAGATGATCGCTAAATGTTTAGGGGTTGAAATGGACCAAATACTGAAAAAATGTCGGATTTTGCAGTAGCTATACAGGTCGCAATTATAGACCAATCGACGCGGAATTTCGCATGTAGCTAGAGTTTAGGGCGGGGAAGAAGCCTACCAATTTGGGTGGTCATCGGATAATATTTAGCGGGTAAAATAGACCGTATATTTTGTGTTGAAAAAATTCAAAAATTTTCATTAAACCGCGAATATTTTAAATCCCGGCGAAATCACAAAGCCATGACAAGGTTACTTCTGATCTTTACATTGATATTAACATCCAACAAAACGGATATATAGCAAAATATGTGCGATATATACGTTTATCAAAGAAGATATGCTTGAAAAATCTCTTATATGTCGAGAACGGCTGAACTGATTTCCACAGTTCTCATTAATTCAGAATGGCCTCTTGGCAGGAAAGTAAAAACGTCTAAAAAAATCGCATAAAAATATCTCTCTAAAGATGAAAATATTGATTTTGTAAAATTTTCTCATATTTTTTCAATTTTGTCATATTTTTGGCATATTTTCATTTTGAATTAAACATTTAGTAATATTTCTACAGCTAACAAAACTAAGTAGTTAGGATATCAGGATATCATATACAGATCGCATTTATGGCCCGATCCTAACGAAATTTTGCATGGGGATCAGATGAGGGTCAGAATAGAAGCCTACTCTTTGTGGAGATGATCGCCATATATTTAGGGGTTGAAATGGACCAAAAAACTGCAAAATTGTCAGCAGGTCGTAATTATCGCCCGACCCTCACGCACATTTGAATGGGGGTTACCGGACATTGCAAGAGCCAAGCAGTTTTGGATGGCCATCCAAAAATATTTAATGTGCGAAATAGTTTGCCAACTTTTGTAGACAAAATACGAAAATGTCCATTCCAGTGACTTTTTGGAGAATTCACAAATTTTTCGTTGAAGGATATAGTCAAATGTCTGTATCTCATATAGATGCGTTTCAGTCAAAAACCAATAATAAATGTTAATCTTTTGCCACTTCTGAGAGATTATAGGTCTTTGGGAAATATTGGTTCCAGATCTAGGAAGACCATTTACGTGCAACATCTGCCAATAAATTGGAAATGAGCAAATTAGTTTATGTTGCTATTATTCGAAAATTAGAGAACGGAACCTGATGGTTTTCTTTTATAATTTGTCACAATATCTTGTGGAATTCTTTCGAGTATCTCGCCTATATAAACTGTATCGTTTATTATAGTGTTGTAGGGTATTCAACGGTCGGCCCCGCTCGACTGTAGCCTTTGCTTACTTGTTTTTCCATAAAAAACTGAATTCAGAAAATATTTTAAAATCTCCCCTCGTATTTCAGACCATAAAAGCTGCCGACATTGCCACCGTACGAAAATTGGGCAAACCGCCCTATTTGATTACCCTCATCATGGACTGTGTCTGTATACTGTTTCGCAAGCGGATCAAAGCTATTAAACCCGATATGGAGAAACAATTCCTGCAAAGCTCCTGGGAAGAATCGTTAAAGGTGATGTCCGACACAAGTTTCCTAAAGAAAATCGTGGAGTATCCCACGGATATCATTAATGCGGAAATGGTCGATCTGATGTTGCCATATTTTAATTACAGGTAGGTGTGATCTCAAATTACTAGAGCTTTTTTTAAAAATTTCAAACTTTCCCCCCTCCCTAGCCTGTATACCTTTGAGGCGGCCAAGGTGGCCTGTGGCAATGTGGCTGGTCTCCTGTCCTGGACCATTGCCATGGCCAAGTACTATGAGGTGAACAAGGAGGTGTTGCCACTGAAAGCCAATTTGGCAGTGCAAGCTGCCAAACATGCCAAAGCTTCGAATGATCTGCGCGAAGCTGAAGAGCTTTTTGCTGCCAAGGAACGTGAGTTGGCCAAAGTCCAGCAACAATTCGATGAGGCAATTGCCAAGAAAAATGCCGTCCTGGAAGAGGCCAAAAAGTGCCAAGACAAAATGGATGCCGCCACGGCTTTAATTAATGGCTTGGCTGGCGAGAAGATCCGTTGGACAGAGCAGATTGCCCAGTTCAAGAGTGAAACGGAACGTTTGGTAGGTGACACAATTATGCTGACGGCTTTTCTCTCCTACACGGGCCCCTTCAATCAGGAATATCGCAACGATTTGCAGGCCCAGTGGCTGAAACAGATTATGGAACGTCTTATACCGATTTCGGGAAATCTCAACATTATTGACAGTCTGACAGATCGCACCCAGATTGGGGAGTGGAATTTACAGGGTCTACCCACCGATGAGTTGTCCATACAGAATGGCATAATTGCCACCAAGGCAGTGAGGTTCCCCCTGCTCATTGACCCCCAATCGCAGGGCAAGGCCTGGATCAAGAACAAGGAAAAGGAAAATGGTCTGATAGTTACCAATTTGTCGCATCGTTATTTCCGTACCCACATTGAGGATGCCGTCAGTTTGGGTCTGCCAGTAATCATAGAGGATGTGGCCGAGGAGCTGGATCCCTGTTTGGATAATGTGCTGGATCGCAATTTGCTGAAAGTCGGCACCACCTACAAAATCAAGCTGGGCGACAAGGAGATCGATTACAATGCAGCGTTTCGGTGTTACATCACCACCAAACTACCGAATCCTGTGTATTCGCCGGAAATATCTGCCCGAACATCCATCATTGATTTCACGGTAACCATGAAGGGTCTCGAGGATCAGCTGCTGGGTCGAGTAATTCTCACTGAACGCAAGGAGCTGGAAGAGGAACGCACTAATTTGGTGGAAACTGTTACGGGAAATATGAAAAAGATGAAGGAGCTGGAGGCTAATCTTCTACACAAACTTTCCACCACACAGGGCAGTCTGCTCGACGATGTCACAGTGATAGAGGTCCTGAACACCAGCAAGAACACGGCCATTGATGTCAAGGAGAAGTTGGATGTGGCCAAAATAACCGAGGCGAAAATCAATGTTGCCCGCGAGGAATATCGTCCGGTGGCAACACGTGGCAGTGTCCTCTACTTCCTTGTCTGCTCCATGGCCAATGTGAACATGATGTATCAGACATCGTTGGTGCAATTCCTGGAGAGATTCGATGCCAGTATGCATTTGTCGGCCAAAACCCACATTACCCAGAAGCGTATCAAGCGCATCATAGAGTATTTGACTTTTGAGATCTATCGCTACAAATCTCGGGGTCTGTATGAGAAGGATAAGTTCCTTTTCGTCCTCTTGATGGCCTTGAACATAGATCGTCAAATGGAGGTGATAAGCTATGAGGAGTTTCAAAATTTCATAAAAGGAGGAGCAGCCCTGAATCTCAACGATTGTCCCCCAGTGCCCTACAAATGGATCACCGATGAGACCTGGCTTAATTTGGTCCAGCTATCCAATTTACCAGCCTTCTCACAGGTGCTCAATAAAGTATCGAACAACGAGCGAGCCTGGTTCCATTGGTACAAAAAAGAGTGCCCCGAAAGTGAGGTCATTCCCGATGGGTACAACAGCCTGGATCCATTTCGCCGTCTGCTAATGATACGCTCCTGGTGTACAGATCGAACGTTATCGCAAAGTCGCCAATACATTGGCCATTCGTTGGGCGAACGTTTTGCCGAGCCAGTGGTTTTGAATTTTGATGGCCTTCTCTCGGAAAGTAAACCTTTGATACCCATCATTTGTTTCCTCTCCATGGGCTCTGACCCCTCCTCAAATATTGAAGCCTTGGCCAAGAAAAATGAACTGAAATGCTATCCCATATCAATGGGCCAAGGTCAGGAGATACACTCCCGGAAATTGGTGTCCATGTGCCTGGAGGAGGGTGGTTGGGTTTTGTTGCAAAATTGTCATCTGGGTTTGGAGTACATGCATGAGTTGACATTGCTCCTGCTCGATTTGGAGAGGGGTGAGGAGTCGGCCTATAATCCAGATTTCCGTATTTGGATAACCACTGAACCTCATCCGGGATTTTCCATAACTTTGCTGCAAATGTCGATGAAATTTACCAATGAACCCCCGGCCGGGGTAAGGGCTGGTCTCAAACGTACCTATGGCAATTTGTCGCAAGACTTTCTGGACTATTCCCAATCGGAATTCTATCATCCCCTGGTCTATGCAATTTCCTTTCTCCACTCGGTGGTCCAGGAACGTCGTAAATTTGGTCCTCTCGGCTGGAATATACCCTACGAATTCAATTCGGCCGATTGGTATGCCAGTTGTCTGTTTGTACAGAATCATTTGGATGATCTGGAGCCGGGTAGGGGTATCAGTTGGAATACCGTACGCTATATGTTGGGTGAGGTGCAGTATGGCGGCCGTGTAACCGATGACTATGACAAACGTCTGTTGAATACCTTCGGCCGGGTGTGGTTCCACGATAACCTCTTTGCAGAGAATTTTGAATTTTTCAAAGGTTATAAAATCCTTAGCTTTAAGGAGCAGGAAGCCTATTTGGCGGCCATAGAAGAACTGCCAAATATAGATCCACCGCAGGTCTATGGATTTCATTCGAATGCCGAGATAACATATCAAACAAATACGACCAGATCGATATTGGATACAATTATGTCGATCCAGCCGAAAGGTAAGAGAGAGGGGTGGGGGAGGCGAATTGGAAATGGTTTGAGAGTTTGAGGTTATTTGGATACTGAGCTTAAGTCAGAATATAGGTCACGAAGGAACTCTATAATCACCTAATAATTTATTTGTACCTTCTAAATAATATATCCTCCCGAAAACAACTGTCAATGCAGATCCATTTTCCGCTTTACATAGCGTCCACATATAGGATATTTTAAAGGTCTTGGGATATTTTCTATTGGTTTCTATTTATTTTTTTAAAAAAATGCGGATAGGCTTTTATTCTCTCTTCTACACCTCTCATAATTTTTTTTTATTTCAGAATCTTCTGGTGGCGGCGGGGAGACCCGCGAGGATAAGGTCGCTCGTCAAGTGAGAGAAATGCAAAGCAAAGCTCCAATGCCCTATGATCTGTTTGAGGTTAAGGAACGTCTGAGAGCAATGGGAGCTTTAAGCTCCATGAATATTTTCCTGAGGCAAGAAATTGATCGGATGCAAAAGGTATTCAATTTCAGGAGAATTAATGGTCTAAAGTAACACTTTCAACACTTGCAGATTATCATTTTGGTGCGCAGCACCCTGAAAGACCTGTTACTCGCCATTGAGGGCACCATTATAATGAGTGAACAGCTGAGAGATGCCTTGGACAATATATTCAATGCCCGGGTACCGGCCATTTGGCAAAAGGGCAGCTGGGCATCTTCAACTTTGGGTTTTTGGTTTACCGAGCTGTTAGAAAGAAATGCCCAATTCCATGGCTGGTGTTTTGGGGTAAGGCATCGTAAATTCGTCAGATCGTCGCTTTTTAACTCCCTCTCTTTCAGGCCCGTCCCGTGGTCTTTTGGATGTCGGGTTTCTTTAATCCCCAGGGATTTCTTACCGCCATGAAACAAGAGGTGGCCAGAGCCCATCACGGCTGGGCTCTCGATCAGGTTTCAATGACAAATGAGGTGTTGAAAATCGGTACCGAGGAGTGTAAGAAACCACCCAAGGAGGGTGTCTATGTCCACGGTCTGTATTTGGATGGAGCTGGGTGGGATCGCAAGACATCACGTCTGGTTGAATCGACAAATAAGGTTTTATACGTTCTAATGCCTGTGGTACATATATCGGCCATAAATTCGACGGCGCCCAAAAGTTCGAAACTTTATACGGTAATTGGTTTTGGAATTTTGATTTTTCCAATAAAAATTGAAATAATTGTTTTTTTTTGCAGTGTCCGGTTTACAAGAAAATCAATCGCACAGATTTGAATTACATATCACCACTGTGGCTGAATACCATTAAACATCCGGATCATTGGATTTTGAGGGGCGTCGCACTGTTGTGTGATATTAAATAACGAATTATATACATATTTTGTAATTTTGAATATATTTTTAAAAACTGATTTGAGATTAATATTAAAAAAATCCCTTTTATGCTTTTTATATTTTTTTTCAAAGACTATCAGATAAGAGTTTTAAAACATTTTTTCAAAGGCTTTAAGGACTATAAACGTAGATTTTTCAATAGTATTTTTTTAAAGGACTTTTTGAGAAATTAAAATGACTTTCTTAATAGGAGCTTTTAAGGTCTTTCCGAACTCTGAGAGTACTAAAAACATATTTAAAAAAAATCCAAGTATTTAACTCTGGGAGTTAATAAAAAAATACTATTTAAGATGTTCAAGATTAAAGCCCTAAATGACCTCGAAAATTCCTTTAAATCATGTTAATTGCTCACAAAGTCCTAAAAAATTCTATTAAAAATATACGTTTATAGTCCTTAAAATCCTTAAAAAAAATCTGCAAGTACTTGAAAATATTCTTTAGAAAATCACGATGAGAATCGGCATTGAATGTGGGTTCCACTTCCATTTTTGCGAGTGAAATCGGTTGGGAAAAATCCTCAAAAAATACTACAGGGTGAGATGAAAAAACTGCAACCAACTTCAGACTGCTGTCATTTCTAAGCTACTCGCCCGACATCTGTTAAAATTATTCCAGTGACAGCTCATTATATTGTTCACAAGCATACAAAAGCATTTTGGTGAGACTTTTCCAGAAAATAGTTATTCGTGATGGAATTCAAGCGTGATAGTGTGATTTTTTATATTTGGCTGGAAAACCACAAGTGGCTATCGTTCGAGCACTCCAGCATTTAAATGTAAATAAATATTTTGTGTCTCGTACCATCGCTCGCTACCATGATACTGGTAGCGTATCCCGACGTCAAGGAAGTGGACGGAAGAAAACAGCAACATCAGCAGAAATGATTCGAAAAGTAAAGAAGCGAATCGAAACCCGCGTCGCAGTGAGCTGAACATATCGCAATATTCCATTCGCAAATATTGCAAAATGAGCTCGAGGTAAAGTCATTGAAATTCCAAAAAGTGCAAGAACACCGCAACAGAAAAAAATAGACCCAAAAGAGCTAAGGAGTTGCTTCATGGCTGCTTGGCCGAAAGTGGTGAACTGCCGAATTTGGTTTTCTCCGGTGAGAAAACATTCGTTGTCCAGCAGTTTGTAAACAAACAAATTGATTGTGTTTACTTGCCAAAAAGGTGAGCTGAAAATGTGCACCTTCGGTTGGCCACCAGAACTCAAGCGCCGGCCATGGTGATGGTGTGGGCCGCCATAACAGCCGATGATCGCTCTCAGCTCGTATTGATCGACCGTGGCATCAGGATAAATGCCGAATATTATCGCGAAAATATTCTGGAGTGTGTATTAAAGCCTTGGACACGCAAACATTTTAGCCGCCGATCTTGGACATTCCAACAGGACTCAGCACGCGCCAACCAAGAACGGTTACAAAATGAGGTTCCTCGCTTCATTTCCAGCACACAATGGCCACCAAAATCTTCGGATACCAATCCGTTGGACTATTGTGTCTGGAGTATTTTGGAAAGCAAGGTTGGCACTAAAAATACCAAAGGGTGGATCATCTCAAGTAAGCGCTTCAGCGAGAATGCCGTAATTCGTACCAAAGATGACCAATTCGAACAAATCTAAACTCATTCTAAAATTTGATGCTATTTCCGACATTTTTTGCTTTCATTCAATAAAATTAAAAAAAAAATGTAATAAGTAAAAAACTGTTTGTTCGGCCGGGCCGAACTTTTAATGCAAAAAAAAAAAATCCGTTAAAAATTATTTTAAAATCTTAAAAATATCGAATCTAGCCGTATATTAGGGCCTATACGACGATGTGGACCTACTATGGGGGTTATAAAACGTGGACCTGCATAGACAATTTCCTGGCATAGGCTGTAGTATTCATTACGAACTTCAAATACCAAATTTGAAATAGTTCCGGTAAATAATGTCGTTAAAATCATCAAAATACCGCATATCGGGAGGTACCGGTTAATGGGGGCTATACGAACACATGGACCTACATGGTCCATTTTCAATACCAAAAGTCCTGCAGACATAGTACACATTTGAGTAATTTTTTATCAACTTACTTCATTTCGTTCGGAAGCTAGAGTGAGTTACACAGACGGACATACGCATAGACGGACAGACGGAGGGACATTGCTAAATCGACATAGAATTTTATGCTGATCAGGAATATATATACTTTGTGGGGTATAAAATGTATATTTCGAGGTGTTACAAACGGAATGACAAACTTAATATACCCACCATACCTGATTTTACTATAATTAGTAAAACAAGAGAAAGAGAGTAAAAAAGGGGGAATAATATCAAAGAACAGTGTTTATGTGGGGTATGTTCAGTTAAAGCTACAGTGATGCTACCGAAGCCTTTCTCACATAAACAGGGGGTTTTCACATGTCACCGACATCAAGTTCTTTTGTCTGCATATGCCATTTCGTTTCTTGATGCTGCTAATTGGTATGGGGTCATTTTAAAATGCCTTGCAAAACTTGATTACTACTTTGACTCCTTCTATCGTCTCAGAGAACTTCACTCATGAATTCTTCTTGGAGCATTATTCAAGTTTACTTTATAAGCGTCCCAGCCGTTGCAAGGTTCGACTTAGGTGCTTTTTTATACCCTACACTACGTAGTGGTAAGGGTATTATGTCTTTGTGCATTTGTTTGTAACATGGAGAAGGAAGCGAGATAGACCCATATGATTAAATTCTACCAAAAAATCTTTTAATTTTTATGTGGAGCTCTACTAAATTAGCAAAGTGGTGTAGGGTATCATAAAGTCGGCCGCGCCCGACTTTAGGACTTTCTTTACTGGTTTATAAGAAAGTCTTGTTGTTTTCCTAAACTTGTTAATCTATGTTCTCCACCACACGGCTTTCGACGTTTTTTTTTCGCGAAAAGTGCGTAAACAAGACTCCCTATAGCAGCCAGGCAGGGTGCTGGTTAAGGCTTTCTAAATTTTTCCGGCCAATCCTTCTTGGATTCCTAAAGGATTTCGGAATAATCCCATCAAAAGAAATTATATCTTCTTATGGCCCGAAAGGGAGCTTTTATCCGATATTTTTAATTAATATTGTTCTTTATTAGGAAATCGTCCATGGTTGTTGGGGTGAAGTGAATAACCTTTTTTCAGTTCCTGGTCCAAAAAGTTGGAGTTGACTTTCTGCTGAAGATTTGAAGATGATATTTAAGTATAAAATCAAATATTGACTCACCTCCGGGCGATAACAACGTTAATCTAATCTCTTGCTTGACACGTCAGGGTCCTCATATGGCATATAAATCGAGAAAAGCAAAGTGACTCTTTTTGAGCCTTTCCTAGCCGCACCGTTTTCGGCAATAGATGATGCAAAGACAGTGTAATTGACATTCCTCAGGTTAGAAACCTTGTTGTAAATATAGGGTTCCTGAACTAGAGCAATGTCCCCTTCAGATCTTTTTATAGTTTAAAACAAGTAAAAAAGCCGGGCCGAACTTTTAATACCCTCCACCATTTGGTACAAATTTGGCAATTTCCAAAAAAAATAAAATAAATAAATAAAATAAAAAAATCCTTTAAAAATTCTGTTAAAATCTTAAAAATACCGAATGTCTATACGACGACGTATACATGCATAGGCAACTTTTGTCATAAGTTATTACAACATTTAAATGCGAAACATGAAGAAACATTTGTTTATAATGTAGCTAAAATCATCAAAATACCGAATATAGGGGGTACCGTTATATGGGGGCTATACCAAGACGTGGACCTGCACAGACAATTTTCTGGCATGGGCTGAAGTATCCATTACGAACTTCAAATGCGAAATTTAAAACAATCCCGGTAAATAATGTCGCTAAAATCATCAAAATACCGAATATCGGGGGGTACGGTATATGGGGGCTATACGAAGACGTGGACCTACATGGCCCATTTTCTGTTTTCTGCTGCAGTATCTATTACGAACTTCAAATACCAAATTTGGAACGGTTCCGTTAAATAATGTCGCTAAAATCATTAAAATACCGAATTACGGGGGTACCGTTATATGGGGGCTATACGAAGACGTGGACCAGCACAGATAATTTTCTGTCTTAGGCTGTAGTATCCATTACGAACTTCAAATGCCAAATTTGAAACAATTCCGGTGAATAATGTCGCTAAAATCATCAAAATACCGAATATCGAGAGGTACCGTTATTTGGGGGCTATATGAAAACTTGGACCTACATAACCCATTTACGAACTTAACCTGCCTACTGGCAAAATATACATGTGTGCAAAATTTTAGCCTTCTATCTCAATTTGTTCGAAAGATAGCGTGATTACAACAGACAGACGGACAGACAGACAGACAGACAGACAGACAGACACACAGACAGACAGACGGACATGGCTAAATCGTCTTAGAATTTTACGCTGATCAAGAATATATATACTTTGTTGGGTCTGACGTGAGTATTTCGAGGAGTTACAAACGGAATGACAAAATTAATATACCCTCCATAGTATGGTGGAGGGTATAACAAGTAAGCAAAGACTACAGTCGAGCGGGGCCGACCGTTGAATACCCTACAACACTATAATAAACGATACAGTTTATATAGGCGAGATACTCGAAAGAATTCCACAAGATATTGTGACAAATAATAAAAGAGGTTTTGTTCTCTAATTTTCGAATAATAGCAACTTAAACTAAGTTGCTCATTTCCAATTTATTGGTAGATGTTGCACTTAAATGGTCTTCCTAGATCTGGAACCAATCTTTCCCAAAGACCTATAATCTCTCAGAAGTGGCAAAAGATTAACATTTATTATTGGTTTTTGACTGAAACGCATCTGTATGAGATACAGACATTTGACTATATTCTTCAACGAAATCAGAGTTAACGAAGTAGTCAGAAGTGCGTATTTCCTGTATTTGTGAATTCTCCAAAAAGTCACTGGAATTGACATTTTCGTATTATGTCTATAAAAGTTGGCAAACTCCTTCACACATTGAATATTTTTGGGATGGCCATCCAAAACTGCTTGGCTTTTGCAATGTCCGGTAACCCCA